TTTCTGTCAGTAAGTGCAGAATTCTGGTTATATCTATGATTACTAGATTAACTTAAAATTCAGAAGTATTACCGGGGATAAACGAGATCATGATTTCGTCGTAAGAAGTTTCATATCACCATGTAGTCAAAGTTTGGAAAACTGACGATTGCTGTTACATCAGTAAGGATCGTAGATCACAGATCAAGATTGAAAGTGGCACCACGAAGTTGTCTCTACAGGATGACAAGCGGCTATTGCTGTTTATAAGCTCAAAAATGGAGCTGAAAAATGTCGAAAAGAACATAAGAGACCAACAAAACCATTGTAGACTCATGTCAATGATATTGGTACGAAACACCGTTAGTGTTATTGTAGAGGCTACAATGTCTTTTACAGTTTGCAGGAATTTATTCCGTTAGCATAAACTGATGATTTGCGCCAATAACTGTCTCGCTAGATCACCAGTCAAATTGAGGAGGTCATGAATCGTCCAACATTCGAACCGCTGGTATATGTATTGGAATCATCCAATAGATAACAGCCACAAATAAGCAATATTTCATACAATGAATAATTGTATGTGCTGGTTATTTGACGAATTTTGTCTGAAAGTTATGTCGATTGTACAAATAATATTCCGCGACTGTTAGGTTTCAACAATGATATATGATGGTGCCGAACAACCGTTATTCATTAGGTTATATAGTGTTGATGTGTGGCCAGTGAGTAGAAAAAAGCCAGTGCTGCTTCCTATGTCTGAAACGACTTACGTCTTTGCGGTTACCCACACGTTAAGTATGCTAACTCAGCATAATATGATGGGTTACGCTGTTTAACAGTTTTGAATTCACTCAGATTTAATACTATGTCTCGTAACATGATGCTCTGGTTGAGCGAACCACAACGTGGGGTCACTAAGATCAAATTCCTGGAGTCGGAATTTCATAGTCATAACGGAGTTTCCCTATACTTGTGTCAGATTACATTCATCCACCAGTCTTCGGGTTTGGATTGAGTCTGACATGTAGTATATGACCAATACATCAATATAATATGGTAGGGGTAAAATAATGACTACAGCACGAATACTTTTTTTAATAAAAAATGCCAATACCTATAAATATATACGTACGAAGTTTGCTTTTAACATAAACGAAAGGTTCACTTTTGCAATCAAGCAGAAAAATAATAACCAAGACGGCAATTAAATTTGTTTTCAAAATAGGGCTCACCACTTTCGTGATTGTGGGTACCCATAATTCTACCCATAGAAGAAACCAGACTGGTAGTGAATAGGTCTTTATTTCGAAATCCTGGAAGATGGAGTGGAGCGTGAAGTTATTTTTTAAAAACACACAAAGCTTTTAACACTCAATATAAAATAATAGGAAGTATAATTCTTACGCAAAACATGGAAGTAAATGAATACTTGAGATGTGAGGTCAACTCTTAACCAGTCAACTCAAGTTGTTACAGCATCCAGTTAAAACCTAGTCTGAGATCGTTAGTATGCATGCAATACGACGTCCCAGAGTGTCTACTTACGAGGCATAAATATGTGCTATTCTGACAGCAACTTAGCGAGGCTGATGGAATATATGACTGACGAATACAAGAGTAACTACGAAGTGTTATCAAACATCTTAAACGTAGTAGAAAGTCATCTAGTGTAATTATGAAACTCTCCTGGGTTACTATCGTTCTAGTGTGATGAATATCTAAAGTAGACGTTGGTTCTATGAGACTTTAGATCTGATACCAAGTATTGTTGATTTAATTCTGGTATTAACACAGTATTGTAGATCGAGTTAGTATTGGTCCACAAACAATTCAAGTCAGATACGTGCCATTGACTGAACGAACAATCCAAGAGAAATAAGAGATTTCAGGGGATTCATAGTCTAAACACGCCGTAAATTTCAGGCACTCATATTATCTGTTTGACTCTACATCCTCTTCTGTTGGTCGATGACTGGGAAACTTTGCCTGGAAAAGTGACATCATCCCCATCAATAAACACTGTCAAAGATTAGCTGGATCCTAACTGGAAAGCAAGCTGCAAGGATGTAATCAGGTCCGACGACCTACTGTCCTTATTGCTGACAATTGGGGGCTGGAAAATATACTACAGCTCAGATTAGACACTGGCAAAAATTTTCGGGTTTGTGAGGCTCCGACTGAGGATGATGCCGAAGCCACTCTGGGTGAAGCAAGAGGCTACTTAAATAGGCTTCGGATCTGTTACACGAATGCTCGGAGCTTGCTCAATAAGCGATCGGAACTAAATGTACAGATTGACTCTACTTAGCCAGACATAATCGCAGACACAGAATCTTGGCTGACGCAGTCTGTAGATAGTAGGAAACTTGCTTTCGAGGGTTTTACATTAGTAAGGAGTGGGAGTAGCTCTATTCATTAGGAATGCTATTCCATTCGCCATTATCGACAGTGTATCCCATGAGAGTGGGACGTATGAACTAGGTTAGTTGTCGTTTGAAATGCAAGGGACAAGAGCTGCTGATTGGCTTGGTCTATCGCAGTCCAAGCTGTGAGGTAAATGAGGTCCTGCTAAGCAGTCTCAACACTTGGTCACGAAGTGGTCGATGTCTAATCCTAGGGGACTTTAATTCACCCATGGTGGACTGGGGAAATCTGCGAACTGAATCGTCAGATAATTCTTTCGAACAGGAACTAGTTGATGCGGTTATCACATGTGCCCTCGTGCAACATATGAAAGCATCAACTGGGTACGACCCGGGCTCTGCATCATCCTTACTAGATCTTATATTGACTCACTATAAGGATGACGTTGTAAACCTCGATTACATGCCACCCATAGGCAAAAGTGATCATGCAGTTTCAGCCTTTGACTTCCATATAACTGCCGATCACGAGTACGCCTCAACTCAACCTAGACGTAACGTCTGGCGAGCAAACATACAAGACATTGTGCACTCAGCATCATCAGTAGATTGGACAATAGACCCAGAGTCCCCAATCGAAACGGCTTGGGATGTATTCCGAAATTTATACTTAAAAGTTACCGCCCCCACATCCCTTGAACTACACCTAGGGGGCTGAGAAACTCCCCACCATGGTTCGCATCCTTCTCCGTAAAGGAAGGAAAATGTGGGATAGATTTAGGTTACTGGGGACTGATGAGGCAAAATCTCAGTATAAAAAGGCTCGAAATACCTGTGCCTCGACCCTCCGTAAGTCCAGAAATCTGTACGAAGAGAAAATCGTTAAGGAATCCATAGAAGGCCCTAAGCGCTTGTATTCGTATATAAAACAAAGGACAAAAAGAAGAAGAAATGTTCCTTCACTATGGGAAGACAGTACTGCCTCATCACTAGTGAAGGAGGACTTTGGCAAAGCTCAGGTATTCTCAAAATACTTTGGCAATGTATATACCACAGAAACACCCTTCTCACCAATCCATGAAAATCCCCCCACACAAACACTGGACAGCGTGACCATTAAAGAATTCGATGTCCTTGGTCTGCTAATTAGGCTTGACATAGGCAAATCCACTGGACCCGATGAACTGCACCCTAGGTTACTAAAAGAATTAGCTAACTTTGTTGCCAATCCTTTAAATATATGTTTCAATCTATCCGTAACCCAGGGTCGTCTACCAAAAGACTGGAAGAACGCCATAGTAAGTCCTGTCTTCAAAACAGGTACCAAACATAAGCCTGAGAATTACCGACCAATTAGCCTAACTAGTGTGGTCTTTAAAATCTTAGAAAAGATTATTCGGAAGGAGCTGTTAAATTATCTCGATGAAAACCGGATCATCTCGGAGAAGCAGCATGGTTATAGAACAGGTTACTCTTGTCTCACTAACTTATTAGTCGCTCGTGAAAGCTGGTGCGCTCTTAAGGACCAAATGTTACCTGTGGACGTAGCCTACATCGATCTCAGCAAAGCTGTCGACAAAGTTCCTTACAACCGGCTGTTATATTTGCTCAGGAATGTCGGGATTGGAGGCAATCTATTGATGTGGATAAAAGATTTCCTAGTTGGGCGTCAACAAAGAGTAAGGGTGAACTCCAAGTTATCTAGCTGGGAAACTGTGCTTAGTGGAGTCCCTCAGGGTACAGTTTTGGGGCCAGTGTTGCTCCTTTTGTACATAAATGACCTCCCTCGTATACTATCGTCATCAGTCTTGCTCTATGCTGACGATGTCAAGATATGGAGAGCGATACAAAGTAAGGGTGGTAGCTTAGAACTTCAAAACGACCTGGAGAGATTATCTGAATGGTCCCAAACCTGGCAATTGTCGATAAACACTTCGAAGTGAATTGTGATGCATATTGGCCACCAGGGCACAGATACATACACGATGAATAACACTGAGTTACCTATTGTCCAGGCACACAATGACTTAGGAGTCATAGTTAGTCAAGACTTGGAGACTACTGCACACTGCCGTGTAATAGCCGCCAAAGATTTTACAACTTTATGGTCCATACGTAGGGCTTTTAGTCATCTTGACGCTACAACGTTTCTGATTTTGTATACAGTGTTCGTACATCCTAAACTTGAGTACTGCATACAAGCAGCTAGCTTCTGCCTAAAAAATGACATTGAACTCTTGGAAAGGGTTCAGAGAACAGCAACTGAGCTGATTTCCGGAATAGCGAAGCTCCCGTATGGTACTAGACTGACCAAGCTAAACCTATTCCCGCTGTCATATCGAAGAATCAGAGGCAACTCGAATACAGTTTTCAAATTGCTTAGTGACAAGTTTGCACCTAATATGCCTACATTTTTCTTGTCTTCCAAAACAGAGAATCCACGAGGACACTCCAAGAAAGTTCACAATCCTAGAACGAATTACTTTCCCATCGAATAATCAACCAGTGGAATTCATTACTTCAGCACGTATTTGAGGCTACATCCGTCGACTTTTTCAAAAGAAAGTTGGCTCGACTGAGAGACCATCATTGCCACGACTAACACAGGCCATCAAGCATCCTGTCCTTTCCGAACTGAAATTGAAAACTGAAACCAAAGTGCGGCAGTTTCAAGTGCTTGCGTTGCATGAGTAAGAAAGTAGGTTTTATTCAATTATAAAGATTTGTAGGCAATAGACCACTCTTTATGTGCATAAAAACAATCAAAGTTGTTGTGCTCAATATTTTTCTTAAATGTAAATTTTGGTGGGCAATGAAATGAGAAACTTATGACTGTGTAGATGGTTTCATTGAGAATTACTCATAATCCGATGAAAAACCTCTTCAAATGACTACAATTGCCGTATTCGTTTTCTAAATCGCCTTCTTGTTGCAAAGTGTTTGCTCACATTTCGTGAAACGGTGGAATAATATTGAAAACTTTAAAAAGCTTTTCACAAGTTGAATTATTTTTGTAGTATGGAGTTTTAAAGCACTAAGACATCGTATTAGAAAGTATTAAATTGACATTGTTTGCTCTTTCGAGAAGGGCACAATCAGCAGTTTGTTTTTCGAAAAATTCGGGTTGGCAAGTAACCGTTTTTAGTCCAGTGAGAATCTTAAGTTTGTTAAACGGCGATATCTCACTGTTATAAGTTTTGTAGAGATTTATTTCACTTAAAGAACGATATCAACGAGTGTCAATAGTATGTGTTGTGTTAGACATTTTTCTTATCCGTATAAATCAGTCTTCGCTGGTTTGGAATTCGTATGTGTTTAATGGATATTTACACTGGTAACTAGCTGCTGGAGCTTTTTTATGAACATGTTACCACATATTTGCCTTAATAGCCAGAACACCGATGCTACAGAAAGTCTTTGGTGGAGACGAGGTTGCTGCCCCAGAGTTCGTTGCACTTCCTTAAACCAAGTGACTAGGAATATCTCGCTATATCTCACTAGTGCAACAATAAATCCTAATAACACCTTCGAATAAAATGTATTAAACTACTGTATTGATTTATCTACGTATGCGTGAAACCCGGATTTATCGTGAATATACGAGTTTTTTTAGTACTCTCGCAGTCCACAAACTCGAGAGCTGGTGTAATCTATTGATATTAAGGCATTTGTTAGAAAGATAGCATATATATTCAGTTTGTTAACTAGATTAGTAGTGCTATTCTTATCTTGTATATTTCAGTGTTGGTAGTACTAACACTTTTCGAGTTTGAATTCTAACTAGACAACTTTGTGGTATGAAGAGTGGTTGTGTCGGATTAACCCCCTCACCATGTTGATGTGATTTTGAAGGTTCCTAAATCAGTAACCTGGGACTTTATCATATACCGCTGGCAAACACTCCATATTTAAAAGTGTGAAAGTAAAATGTAGACAGTAATATGACTTTATTTAGGTCGTCAAGTTTCAGTGCCCCCAAATGCCCCGGTACGGCCGAGAGTGGGGAGGGCCCGCCCTCTCTCTCGAAATGCTCTCACTCGGCCACACGTATACAGCCTTTGCCAGGGAAGTCCTGCTCACTGCCTTCCCGTGGCGGGGGTGTTGTTTACGAAATTGAGAGAACGAAAGGCGAGTGTCCGGCGCTTTAACCGGGTTGGTGGACACGGAGGGTCCACCTAGGGGAGTTGGAAAACCCTGATTCCAAATCGATGGTGCACATGGGCCCTAGGATACTGAGGAAACAAATGGCGTATGAACCAATTATTGGTCAACGGCTACCATGGGACTGCATCTCCTCACGATGCTCCACTGCCTTATGGATTCGATTTTTAGGTCGAAGGTTCCGGGTGTGGCCCCCTAAGAAAACCATCTGTTTCAGTTTGAGCACTTAGACAGTATCCCAGTCCTCACACAAATCGGATGATTTGTGTTGCGAACATATTTGGTGCTTCCTTGTACCCATGTTTATATGTTTAAATAATAATAATAAATAATCAAGTTTCAGTAAAAACGCATTAATTTTCAACGATAGATGGCTGACTTGTCTAAAATTTTAATCTATGAAATGACAAACCGTCATAATTTGAGATAGATAAGGTAATTTTTTGTTTAACCACTTAAACATTTTAGTCATGAAATATCGAGAAAACTTGTGTAAATTTTAACGATCTGGTTCTTAGCTTTTGCTTACAGATTTGAGATTCAGATTTGTGTAGTAAGGACAGAAGGCCTACGGCCTATTTTATTCCTTTTCCAGTATGCTTCCGTGTGTGTTTAGTCTTTTGAATGAGTCATTTGAAGGTGCGGACACCATTGTTTCGGGTAACAGGTTTCAAGAATTGATGATTTAGTGTTAAAAACATGTATGTCACGGGTATTTTCTTCGTTCTTGGCTTTTCTACTCGCCTGCTATTTCCTCTGAGATATCCCGATCTAGTGGGAAGAAAACGAGAGGATACGTTAGGTTAAAAATCATTTTTTAGTATTCTATGCATCAAAATCAGATCACCTCTTAATCTGCGGTAGGACAGAGTAAAGAGGTCTAGCTTTTCAAGTTGTCTTTTGTATAGTAAACTCGGGAGTTCTGGAAATGCACGGGTAGCTGCCCTCGTTACATTTTTCAAGATATCTAAGTCAACTTTAAAACAGGGGCTTTCAGCCTAAACGCAGTTTCAAAGCTTAGTTCTCAATAAGGTTCTGTATATTACAGTGAACATAGTAATATCTAACTTGGTAAATGTTCGTTTTAACTGAAACCTCCCGACAGTGAGCCGTGGTCTCAAGATCGTGACTCACTGTCACCTCAAGATCTTTGTGGAACCGGACCATGGGTACAGTCACTTCTTCTATGCTGTACCTACTTACCTTTGTATCCCCAAATTGCACGTAGACGCACTTTCCCGCGTTGACAGGTATCAGCCACTTTCTAGACCAGCTAATCAAAATATTTAAGTCTGTCTCAAGTGCGTATATGCATCTGCGTCTCCTGATATTTTTCGCCAGATTTTTACATCATCAGCGTATAGTAAAATTGGAGACTACGATACTTGGGAGTTCATTTACATACAGTATAAAAAGTAAAGGACCTAGGACATAATCTTGCGGTACTTCACTAAGTACTGGTTTCCAGGTGGAGCACTTCGAATTTACACTTACTTCCTGTCTACAACCTACTAGGAAGTCTTTGAACCATTTTTGGAGAGGTCCTACAATGCCAAGATTTTCTAGCTTCAATAGCAGTCAATTTATTGGCACCTTGTCAAACGCTTTGCTGAAGTCTCCGTACACATCCACTGATTTTCCATTGTTTAGAGCCTTTATCCATTGCTCCCTTGCTATAAGGAGGTTTGTTGTGCAAGATGAACCTTTCTTGAAACCATGCTGTTCTCTGTTTAACAAGTTGTTAGTTCCCACAAATGTCATTATGGTCTTTTTAACCATTCTTTCCAGTATTTTAACTACCACATTGGTGAGGCTGACAGGTCTGTAGTTCCATGGAAGTTGTCTTGGTCCTGTTTTATGTATTGGAGTGACGATTTTATCCTTCCAGTTCGTAGGTGATACACCTTGGTCAAGTGACATGTTGAATATCACAGTGAGGCTGCAATATATTGTGCAATTTGTCTTAGGATTTCGGGGTGTAGTTTATCCGTGTCTAAACTGCTAAGAACCTTAAGTACATTGTCTTGATCAGAGTCCACGGTGAGCAGAAAGTTTACTGACTTTGTATTTGGGTTTAATTCTTCGTCTAGAAGAGGCTCCTGAGTGAAAACTGCCCCGAAATAGTATGCCATAGCCTCCGCTTTTTCTTGATAATCCTCCATCATTTCAGCTGCACTCCCTTAATTGTTATTATTATCATTGCTATTATTATTATCATTATTATTACTATTATTATCATTAGCTTTGTCCAATATTTTTTTGGTACGATATAGAATTCTCAGCACATTGTATTTCAACAAGTTTCCGTTTTTACTTCTTGATCGATCCTGATGACAAGTATTGAGTGATCGCCGGTTAGAACTTAGCTACCAGCCAGCAACCACAGTATGTCTGATTGGGCCTTTTGTAAATTGTGCAACAAAAGGTTGTACACTTTTCAGAAACGCACCCGAATAGTTTATGTGATTAATAGCCATAATGATGTATTAAAACGAACGAAATTAGATAACTTGTTGAAATATCTAGATAGCAGGAACAGGTAGCTAAGATGTTCAAGCAGGCCGCCATGTTGGGGAATCCAATGCTGCATCCTTGTTCTGTAATTTATGTTCGGTAATAATCTCTTAGGCTTCTTGATTGCAGATTGTGCCAACCTCATTTCATATTTTTTCTGAGCTTCCCGGATTGTAATTATACACTTATTTCTTACAAACTTGTAGCGTTCCATTGTACTTGCTGTGTCAAGGCTGTTGCCAGCATTCCAACATTTCTTCTTTTGTCTTAGTGAACGTTGAATATCCCGGTCTATACAGGGATGGCCGTGCTTCTTCTTTAGGACTGTCCAGGGTATATATGGTTGAGTTAATCGATTGTATAATTGTTTAAAATGAGTCCATGCCTCTTCTACTGATGCCCCTGAGTCAATTATCCAGTTTCCAGCCGATGCTGCAGAGTTTGTCGCTTTTATGTCTGCCTTCCGTATGTTAGGACGTGCCGGCGCAACTGTTTAACAGGCGATCTCAGCCATAAACTTGCATAAGATGACTGCATGACCACTTCCCCCTAGAGGTGGAAGGAAAGTCATTTGACTGACATTATGGCCGTGTATGAAGACTAAGTCCAAGATAGACCAGGAGTTTCTCAAATCATACCTGTTGGGATCTCCAATATGCTGTAATAAAGCTAGTGCAACTGTGGTTTCTAACAATTTGCAATCAAATGACGTTACCGATGACCCTACTTCTAAGTTTACCCGGTTTATATACGGTGCATTAAAGTTGCCTACTATAAGGCTTTTACCCCTGTTACACCAGGACTTAAGTTTGCTTAGGAGGTATTCATTTACAACACATTCTGGACTGCAGCATACTACAATTAATCGAATATCTTGCTATCTACATTTCAGCCTGCAACGCACCAGTTCACATGTCCCTGAATCATGGGCCACTGTCTCAACTGCTCGTATGGTTAAGTACTTTTCGTGTACAAGATAACCGCCTTCCCTACGATTTAATCTATCATCCCTACTAGGTGAAACGTCAGTCAACTGAATTTCATCATCAAACACTGACGTCAAACATGTTTCTGAGACAGCAATGACATCCCGGTTTTTTATATCCACCATTGTCTTGAGCTCGGCCATTTTATTTTGTAGGCTGCGAGAATTTGTGTAGCACACCTTTACTTCAGTGGAGAGCTTTCCTTTACCACTCAGAGTGGTTTAGGGATCATTTTGCTCCGAACTTTTACAATTTGAAAACACTTAAGAAAGATGTTTTTCCCCCTTTGTTTCCACTTCTGCAACTCGTCTCGTAATACGATCAGCTAGGCTGAGATCCACACGAACGAATATTCCGGATCTAATCAGTTTGCGTCAGTTACCTAGAATCAGGATTCCTTTCTTCAACGGTGGTAAATGTAACCTTCAAGAAGCAGCTTTTTGAGTATTTTCAGAATCCACCTTTCGTCCTGTTATTATAAAGCGTATAGATGTTAACTCCTGAAACTGTTTCTGGGATTAGCTTGATTATAACGTTCTGAATTCATATTAATCTTTTTTTTGTCAAAATTGGTAAATTTTAGGTATTTTCTTTAATCTGTACCTAGGGTCACTTCTAAAACAACTCAATGGAAGCCGACCCAGCAATAGTTTTGGAATGGTTGGACTCCGTAAACGACGAACTTAGGGAGTTACAACTTACTGCATTGGAACAACTGTGCAACGAAGTTCTTTTCTCGGACAATGTTGATGTTTTCTTTGAGCGCTATCCACCTCGCCTCTTCATACCCGCCTTATGCAAAATATTTTTGGATGAATTAGCCCCGGACTCTGTTTTGGAGGCAAATGCTCGGGCCCTCACTTACTATTTGGATGTTAGTTTGGACTGTGCCCCACGGATTGCACGGTCGCCAAATGTGTTGACGGCCATGACTTCTAGATTAGATGCAGTTGATATGACATCTGCGAAAAGTAATGAGCTTGGGCAGCAGATTATTAAGGTAAATATTTCTTTTGAATCTTTCTCGAGTTAATGTTACTTAAAATGTACAACATGATTTAGTCATGATGGCATTACCATCGACTTCCAGGATCTTGTGTACATATAAGTCTGATTAAAAGTGTTAGACTGTGATTATCCTGGTGGTTTGTACCTATTTTGATTGATCCTGTAATCGGGTTGCTTCACGTTGTGTATCGTATTAGTCCGAGAATATTTTAGTCACGTCGTGCATTTTTTTTCGCGTGGTCGTTTACATAATGAGGACCTACAACACTAGGGATTATCCTAGTGCAAACAAACAGTCATAATAAAGACTCATGAAAACAAAGTTGTTTCAGATGGCTTTCTTTCCTATAAGCTAATCGGTGGAATTTTTATCGCTTAACTGTTTTGTTCAAAACTGATTTTAAATGTTTTATTTAACAATGAGGTTAGATTCAATTTCCAACTACCATGCCAATTTACTCAAATATCGATCAAATTTTCTTTATTTAAAATATACGGTGATCAACACTTTTATTCATTGGAAATTTGTAATAGCATTTTGTTCAGTATTCTGAGAGAGTAAATAAGTTGTAAATCAAAATTTAAAACATTTGAAACTGTGTAAATGTCTTTTGGATTGCTTACTCTGTTTGAACTTAAAATTAGATTATTTTTTCATTTGAAATGTGACTATTAGTATTTTTTTCAAATTATCCTCATTTAATCAATCATCATGTATAAAATTTCAAGATGTTGCAGCTTATTTGTACACGAGAGCCTGGTGCCGTGTATACGGCCGGAGGACTGACTTCCGTCTTACGTTATATACGTCTTTACCCACATCTGCTTCATGCTGATGTTCTGCAGGCTGGGATGGATATTATTAGGCGTTTGTTTAGCAGAGCAGACCCATCAGACAAGAATCTAACCAGTTGGATTGATGCATTGAGTTCACTCTTAGATCGTCGAGAAACAGGTGTTGCTGACCAAGCATTACGTGCATTTGCTAATTTGGTATCTCGATTTACTCGAACGGGTGCTGATCCAAGTCCACTTGCTGATTCTCATATTATTGATTGTCTTCTTCAACGTCTTCGTGTTGCTGGTGGTGTGGAAACTGATAATGAACTGACATATTCATCCGGCCCCAGTAAATAAACTTGTTTTGATTTATGCTTACTTGCTTTCTAGTTATTTCATAATTTTGATTTGATCCATTTAAATATAAAAAAATAATAATAAAAGTTAGGGGCGGTTCAACCAAAACGTGGCATCAGTCCTTGAAGTCTCTAACTTCTGGTCTGAGCCATGTTGATAGATGCAAACTACTTGGTTGTGGTCCGCGTGACCATCGTAACTAATGGTTCGAGAGTTTGAGTGACATGGCTCAGAATCGATCACAATGGCCTAGGTATACACTTTTTTTCTTTCCTTAAACCGTGAGATTAAAATTAGTTTATACTTTTTTTTTTCTACAAACTGATTCTTTCTTCCTCCATTATATCCTTATGAGAAATCTTTCTTTTATATATTACTACCATTGAAGTAACTACTTCTGTGAGTTTGGTGTTCATCTTGTAGTGCTAATGGGGTGTGGCAACTTGGACCGATGCATATATGTGCCTGGTCCTACTTTGTAGCTGACTGACTGACTGGTCAAACATAAAAGAAGTGGTGCACTGTAAAACAAGTTGCACAAAATCATTATTCCTTAGGACATCGGTTAAGTAGCTTTTGATCAGTAAGTTGTTGATTGAAGTTAAACATTAACATCGTTGGATGCCTGCTCAGTGGTTTAAAGGTTAAGTGTTCGCGCGCGAGGCCGAAAGTCCCGGGTATGATTCCCGCATACGGGGTCGTGGATGCGCACTGAGGAGTCCTGAAATATAAATTCTTAGGTACTTACTGAGTGAATGAATTACATTAATTAATTCGTAGTTGGGTGCCCAGTGATCATTCTGACTTTGAGATGAATCTTCCAAGGTTCTGAACCATAGGAACTGTTTAACTTGGAGACATTATTCACCATGTCCGGCGCTTTAACCGGGTTGGTGGATCTGGAGGATCCACCTAGGGGAGTTGGAAAACCCTGATTCCAAACCAATGGTGCACATGGGCTCCAGTATCCTGAAGGAACAAATGGCGTATGAACCTGTTGTTGGTCACCGGCTACCATGGGACTGCATCTCCTCACGATGCTCCACTGCCTTGTAGATCAGACCTTTAGGTCGAAGGCTCAGGGTGTGGCCCCCTAAGAAAACCACCTGCTTCAGTCTGGGCACCTGGTCAGTATCACAGCCCTCACACAAATCGAATGAGATTTGTGAGGTGCATATTTATCTGGTGCTTCCTTGTACCAATATTTATGTGTTTAAATAAATAAATAAATAATGAAATGAAATGCTAACACTATCGTTTGAAACCACTAATGAGCGTGGACTGTTGAGTTATTTATTCTTTAAATATAAGATATTCTTTCCAGCATAAATATTTCACTCTATTTTTGGATGTGTGACTTTTGCATTGCAGATTTGCCAACAGACACATCAGGGAGTGGTCGTGATGGTCTTTCTTCAGTCACAACTGAAAGTAATCCAGCTGCAGTTCACGCAGTCACTAATATCCTAACTTCACTTTGTTGTAATTCTGTGAGTATAACACATAAACTTCTAACTAGTGATGGTCAGTTTGCTATGACATTGGCAATGGTTGTTCAACGTAGCACGGATGAATTAGTTGTTCTTAGTGTACTTCGATTGATTGAAGTTCTATTGGTACTACTACATCAAACTCAAAATGTTCAGTTGAAATCACGTGAATCACCACAAACAAAAGAACAAGTCTGTAAAACTACTTTACCAGAATCTGCCAACGATGATACTTCAAAACAAAATCAAATGCAAGGTCAGTTGTTTAAATCAAATGAATTTCAAACGTCTATATCAATTATTGAACATGCGGAAAATTCACAGAATACTTCACAATCTGAACATACTATTGAAACTCCTTTGGAGTCCCAGCATTCTTGGGAAGGCGATGCTGTACACCGTCATTTTATTGAGGCTATAAAACGACAGGATTTGGGTATGGTATTTCAATTTTTATCGGAATTTAGGAGGGTTTCTTTTATATTTTATTTCAGATGTTATAATGTTTCATACGATAATTGCTTTCTAATTTATTTTGGTGGTTGTCGCTGCAGTTGGAGAAACGTGTACACAGGAGAACATACTTTTAGCTACTTGATTGATTTTATCCAAATAATGTATAGTATATTTTAAGCTGTTCGCTTAAAAGTTAGTCATTCCTGTTTCATCGACTGTAGTTTGGAAACAGTATCAAGATTTCTCGAGCGAATTACTAACGACTGTAGTCTTTACCACGAACTGACCTTGGTTGGACAACTGAAGTCAGGAAGCACCGGAGAACTTTCTTCTCCAAGTATTGGGGTTTTTCAGCAATGAGCATCCGTGGCTTCACTGGTGATCGAACTCAGGGTCTCCACTTCTCTTTTGGAGTGCTTAACCTTTAAACCAGTGATTCGCATTTCTATTTTCTATCAATTCATGGTGTTTGACAACTATATTTCAGTGTCATTGATGGATAACTGCTTCACATCCGATATACTGGAACACCACTGATCGCAGTGGGGCTTTCTGATTTTCACCAGTCGTCTAACCAAGGTCATTTTTGATGTAAAACTCAATGATCTTCACAAGCCTCTAACACTAATAACTAACAGTATGACCGATACTTTGGGATTTCAAGGTATGCGGTTATATTGGAAGATGGTCCTCATTATAAACTGTTGTCAACTGGGGGAACATTAAAAGTCAGGGACCACTTAACAACTCCTTTTTTGCTTATGGACTCTTCAGGAATGCTCGTCCACAGCTTAGTAGCATAAGATTAAACTTATAACCCTAGTATCTCACAGCAAACACCGTTACAATACAGCCAACTTCAGTCGGCGGAAGTCCTCAAGGAACTCCAACTCTTGAAACGTTATAAATCACCTGGCCCAGATGACTTACCTCTGGCTCTTTTTAAAGATGGTGGTGACTTTCTGGCTAAGGAACTGACTGCGTTGTTTGGAAAGGTTTGGGAGCAAGAAAGTGTTCCAACATCTTGGAATGAGTCAATAGTCGTCCCTATCTTTAAAAAGGGTTCACGTTGTTCCTGTAACAACTACCGGGGGATAAGTCTACTTTCGATTGCGTCCAAACTATTGGCTTCTATCATTCTTCGTAAGTTGTTTAAAACCCGAGAACGATTGACTCGCGAGGAGCAGGCTGGTTTTCGTTCTGGTCGAGGATGCATTGATCACATCTTCACCCTCCGCCAAATGTTAGAACACCGTCATACTTATCGCAGGCCAACAATCGTAGTGTTTCTTGATATCAGGGCGGCCTTCGATTCGTTGGACAGGACTGTTCTCTGGGATTGTCTATTGAAGAAGGGTGTGCCTGAGAAGTTCATTAACATCTTAAAGGCCCTGTATACGAACACCTCAGGCAGAGTGAGGGCATACAACCACCTTTCTCCCTTGTTCCATTCAAGCAGTGGGGTTAGGCAGGGTTGCCCGATCTCACCATTCCTCTTCAACTTTGCCATCGACGACATCCTGGAAACAGCTCTGATGGATGTAAGTAATGGCACTGTGGATATGTTGCCTGGAGAACGACTTCTCGACCTTGAGTATGCGGATGATATTGTCTTACTGTGCGATAATGCCCAAGGCATGCAATCAGCACTTAATCAGTTGGCAATCAGTGTCCGCAGGTACGGCATGTGCTTTGTACCCTCCAAGTGCAAAGTACTCCTACAAGACTGGCAGGATTCTCATCCTGTACTCACCCTGGATGGTGAGGAGATTGAAGTAGTTGAGAAGTTCGTGTATCTAGGTAGCTACATAAGTGCTGGTGGTGGCGTGAGTGATGAGATTGATGCACGTATAGTGAAAGCCAGAGCGGCTTATGCCAATCTGGGCCATCTTTGGCGCCTTCGTGATGTTAGTCTGGCTGTAAAAGGTCGGATCTACAACGCGTCGGTGAGAGCAGTTTTGCTCTATGCTTGTGAATTCTGGCCTCTCCTAGTTGAGGATGTTAGACGTCTCTCTGTGTTCGATCATCGTTGTCTCCGAAGGATTGCTGACATACAGTGGCAACACCATGTTAGTAATGCAGAGGTTCGGCATCGTGTGTTCGGGCGCAGAGACGATAATTCAATTGGTGTCACCATCTTGAAACACCGACTTCGGTGGCTTGGACATGTTTTACGAATGTCATCCCAGAGACTTCCACGTCGTGCATTATTTGCCGACTCTGGGACTGGTTGGAGAAAGCGGAGAGGAGGTCGGTGTATGACATGGTGTCGTGGCATGAAAGAGAGCTGCAAAGGGCTAGCTTTTGTTGGTCCTTCACGACTCTCTGGTTGGGGTCCGAGAGATGGTGCAACACAGTGGCTAAAGTCGTTATCAGATATGGCTCAGAATAGAAACCAGTGGCGTTCCTGCTGCAACCTTCTTTTACTTTCTACATAAAGAATGGTTCTAACTTTCTTAACTGAAAGAGTCTTCTGGTTGTACATTTCAGCCCGCCTTATCTTTTCATCCCTTCTCTTCCTACTTTCATTATTTTGTGTGGCACATATGTACCTGGTGCCCTTTTGTACCAATATATATGTGTTTAAATAAATAAATAAATAAATAACTTCAGTCGACGTGTAATATAGAACAGTTTTCTCGTAATGTCATCAATGAGTTGCTACCTCACTCCACTGGTTATGTCTTTTCTATTAAAATTTGGGAAATCTATGTTTGTAGTTATTCAGTCTTGAGTACAATTAGTTGAAAAAATTTCAAAAGAAATATTTTCAATTATTTCACTAAAGATAAAAAGTATGAACTCAATATTTTCGTCAATTTAGTCACGCCGAAATCCTGTTAAATTCTTTTAGATTTTATGAAACGCAGTTTAAAGTCGGGCAAAATCGATGTCAATTACATGGATCATTTAGGACAAACTTTGCTAAATTGGGCCGCATCGTTCGGTTCTCCGGCTATGGTTGAACTTTTATGTACACATGGTGCAAATGTGAATTTAGGTGTTCGTACACCATTAGATTATGCAGCTTCATTTGGGCGTGTTGAAATATGCAAAACTTTACTTAATTGGGGCGCTGATATTAATAAACAAGATGTACAAGGTAGAAAACCCATAGACAGGGCTCGGGAACATCCTGATTTTCCTGGTTCACAACAAGTAATCGATTTATTGGAATCCGAGTCAAAAAGTGAATGAATTTTTCAGTGATACTGATTTTATTTGCTCTGTTTTCGTGTAAACATTGAATGTGTGATCAATCTTTTTTTATTAACGATGTTTGTGAATAAGAATATATTTTCCAAAAGTGGATCACAATATGCTTTGGTTCTGTACAAACTGTAGTTATTTTGCTTGATATTGTCACTTCTCAATATACCTAGCTATAACAATTTGAAGGAATCAAGGAAATGGTGATACAATTAAGGGTTTTGGATCGTCTTTGTTTTATTAACTCAGCCTAAAATCCAGTCATTTATTTATGATCGTAAAAGATTTCAAACATGTACAGATATGTTGCTTGTACTAACTGGAGAAAATAATTTCAACTTAATATTATTTCATTTATATTCAACACTTGGCACATATTTGCAGTATTCCAAGTTACTACCACAACAGCACAAAGATATGAAGTTATCAAGCTGAATACTAATGTAGATCTAGTAGTATCAGTGATACTGAATAAATATTTCTCATGGACAATATAATTCAAGTACAATAAATGAATTCCCAGAATAAAAGATGTGAATTAATTCTGAAACTCAGGATTTAAGAGGAGATAAAAAGATAAGTGCATCTGGGTCATTACGACTGATTCTGAATCATGTTACCCAACATCCCCCAACTACCGGTCACAATATTCGCATGGACATCAACCTGGTTATCTAAACTCACCCCCATACCTCAGTCTAACGGTTGATAGACCGATGTCACGCTTCGTTTTATTCCAAACTAACTTTCTTCCAGACTATCCTCACGCCAACTAACTTCGCAAATCAGGGTAGGCAGTGGTTAGACATAAGTAATACATCTCACTAACCCATCAACAGAGTTGCTATCCTTACTTTATACCTGACCTCAAGACTGTTCACTCGACCCTTCCACGGTACCCATGACCGGAGAATTGCAGCTTACTCGTGTCTTCTACTTCCATATCCATGAGGTAATGCAGAACGGACTGCTGAGCAGTTTACCCACCCTTTGGTTAACAAAAAGACTTTTCACCCCCACAGGTGATCGAAGTTGGGGAAAAATCAATTAAGCTTCCTGAGTCCGTGCCGCGATTTCATCTTACATCAACCCATCTAGGCTGATGAGACTTACAATATAAGTGAAGCGGTTGGCGCACTTAGCTATTTCACTCCCTATAATCAATTTAGTTCGAATAAGGGCATTATGTTTACTCTAGGGAGTTGATCGTCTTATTGCATAAAGTCTTTTAATCTAAAAGTATTATTCTTCACGTGCTCAACTGTATTTCCTGTCTCGGATAACCTTAGATGATACTTAAGTCCTCATAAGATGTATATTTTTTGGGCATCTTTTGGGAAATTATTCAGTTAGTGAGTACACAATCCCTATTTATTTATTTGAATGATTCTGTATAGCATGAAGTTGACTGTCTTCATAAACTGGATATATTCTTGATTTGAGGTTATATTTGTAATACACCGTTATTTATATACTACTGCAAATATATATATATATATATATATATATATATCACTTTTTAGGAGCCGGTTTCAGGGGTTTATCATCCAAGTTAGATAAATCTGATAAACAACTAACACCTGGTTCATCATCCACACCGTCATCATACGTATCATTTGCTCAACATAAACCTTATATGATTCAATCGAATGATCCTGGCGAAGCTCAACGTTTATTTGTTGATCAACTTCTTCCATTGCTAGTTGGGTTGTTTAAGGAAAGCACATCTTCTGTAAGGTAGTTTATACAATTTTTTTCTTGTAAAGTAAGAATGCTACATTTCACTAGTCGATTTATTGATAAAATTGTATTATTCAAGTATCATTACGAATATTATTCGCTGTTTTTTAAATATAAATTCATGTTAATTTAGATCCTTTATTACTGTCAAGTGGAAATTTATGTTCACGATTCAAAGTTATGCTTTTTGTATAAAAGTTAACGGTACTATCCTCTCGCCTAAACTAAAGGGAGCTGATGTAGTCAGCATTTAAAATTTACGGTCTAATTATTGCAACTTGAAAAATTTGATCATTAAGCCATCTTTCTTTTATGTTTTCAGTGTACAAGTTCCATGTTATTGTTTTTTAAAGTTTCCAAAATTGTGTCATTTAGCGATCAGTGAAAAGAAGATCATGATATTTATTTTCTTAAAAGTCGACTGCCGCACACTATGAGATAGATAAAGGAGTGAGCGGTTTAATGTTTGACTTGTTTGACTTTCGGTCATCTAGTTACAAGTTCGGGTCTCGCTCCACTTACTTCCTTTTAGGAAACCGGGTAGTGTCAGTTACCCTCACACTTAAAGTGTGGCTCAAAGTCACGTACGCAAATGTGGGCCTGGTACTGATTTAATAATAAGAATAATGAATGACTTAAAACAGTTCAAATAAATATGTAATACCAGTACTTTGAAGTGTTACACTAGTTGATCATATCAATAACCGGTATACCCTATTGATTAGGGTAGGCAATGGTACGGATGTCTGCTTGTCGGTCGAAAATTTATCTTATGCTATAATTGTACTTTATATAAAAACTCATTTTGTATGTTTGTTTCACAGTTTTTCTTATTACGTACTGGTTGGTTCAAGCCCTGATATAACAGGAGAATTGAAATATATATTGTATATTACTCTGATACAATCTTATGACCGATGTTTGAGACTATGCTTCCACTACACTGGATAACTTTTTACCGGACAAAATTCATGACGAATAATGGAAATACAGAGTATATGCTAGACAAATGTTTATCCGAGGCAATTACAAGCAGACACACTCAGTGATCTGGAGCAAAAGTCAAAAATACGAAAGGAAGTTACATATTTAATAGTTAATAAACTAAGTGTCCGTTTGTACACATACAATAGCCAATCACATTTACTTTCACTAGCCACATATCAAAGCCATATAACTCAGCACTTTTATTACTGAGTTATACACTCTATTGTAAGGTTTCAAGTGGAGTGAAGATGGTTTAAACAAATTTACAGTCACATGGGATGCTTATTGTCGAGTTCCAAATTTCTGTTGCTTATTGGACTAACCGGTGAATTATGACCGGTAAAGTGAGGAATATAATGTTTCCTGTACTAAATATGATCATCTTGAGGTCAGTGCGATTTATTATATTTGTATGTAAATTCAAACGATCTTTCATAAGAAGTAGCGGTTTTACTGATGACCACGTAGTATTTAAACTGTTTAAGTGTGATCATTTGAGTTATATTTAATTTTAGATGATAGTTCTCGTCATATATAAAGTGCTATGTTAATATTCAACTACGTATTACATTTCAAATGAGTTCGAATTTTACGTTTTCCCTTTATTAAATAAATTACATATGTAAAGTAAACTTTATGGTCCGTTATTTTTATTCTTTTTATTATTATTTGTTCACAGACATCAGTGTACACTTTTAGTTTGGCGTATGATTCAGTATATGCAACCTGATCATTTAGAAACAATTAGTTTGATGGATAATCAATCAGTTCCATTCGCATTTTCATTAACACAAATGATTTATACTGTATTAATCGAAGTAGGTTGTTTGATTTCTGTCTTTTTACCCACTTTTGTCAGTACAAACGTTACAGTTGTTCGTTGTTGTTATTTTACCAATAGCAATATGAACTGATATGATTCACTGCTATTTCTCTCTTTGCATGCTCGGATTTTGACCTTTTAAATCACACGTTCAATTCAGTTCTATCACGCTAATTCTGTGATCAAACTACTTAGTATCCTCAACCCTCCATATAAACAGCCTAGGGGAGAACTGAGTACAGAAATCTGTGCTAAATAACTACATGGAAGACAGACTATAACAGTAATAGCGTCTGATAGATAACTTCTTTGATAGGATTTGAACTGGAATGACTACAACCCTCATCATAATTGTCCATTATCATGGTACAATTAGTACAGCTATTAGTACTACTATTCGACTGACAGATGTGAAATTGATTCAAAATTACTGTTTCACACTAATTTTCACTTATCTCATCCTATCCTTCAAAGATATTCACAAGTTATTCATTTAATCATGAAGAATAGAGTTTCATTTTTATGTCATTTAAACTGTAATAGGTATAAAAGGTAAGATTCTTTAAGAACTATAAAATGTAGTGGGTTGGTTGAATATCTAAAGTATCCAAACGAAGACTAATATCAGTCCATAAAGTCATTAATCATTGATTAAATCTGTGTTTCGATAGTTATAAAATTTTGGGTTATGATCTGCGCAATTCGATTTATTTATTATTTATTTGAACACATAAATATTAGTACAAGGGGGCACCAGATATATATGTGCCACATGAAATTTTCATTTCATTTAATCGTGTGAGTGCTATGATACTGCCCGGGTGCCCAGACCAAAGCAGGTAGTTTTCTTAAGGGGCCACACCCGGAGCCTTTAACCTAAAGGTCTGATCCACAAGGCAGTGGAGCATCGTGAGGAGATGCAGTCCCATTGTAGCCGGTGACCAACAATAGGTTCATACGCCATTCATTCCATCAGGATACTGGAGCCCATGTGCACCATTGGTTTGGAATCAGGATTTCCTAACTCTCCTAGGTGGACCCTCCGTGTCCACCAACCCGGTTAAAGCGCCGGACATTCGCTTTTCGTCCTTTCAATTTCGTAAACAACACCCCGCCACGAGAAGACAGTGAGTAGGCTGTATACGCGTGGCCGTGTGAGAGCATTTCGAGAGAGGGCGGACTCTCCCCACTCTCGGCCGTACCAGGGCATTTGGGGACTGCGTGTTGGCTAACATGCGTTTCTTTTTTCAATGCGCAATTCTTGTAATCGGTAGTTTGATGTTAACTGACATGTTTCCTTATCGGTTAGAGTGGAGCAAGATCATATAGTTTTTATTTTCTTCTTGTAAATATTCAGCTGTCACCGATACATAATTTTGGCAAGTTTTATGTTCAATATCTCTTTACTCAGTGAATAATCATACAACCGTTTATATAAAATAACTTTTTTTCTTTTGTCTTCCTCATTTTCACCGTCTTTTTCCAGGAACGAGAAGAATTAATTTCACGTGCATTAGAATTAAGTCTCCGTTTATTGAATAAAACGCCACATATTTACGTTTTGGTATTCTATCGCTTGGGCTTAATTCCATTGATACAAATTATCATTGATATATTACATCACTTGTTAATAATGGAAAATAAATCTGGCGTCACCGTGACCACCATCACTACATCTACTACTAATACTGGACAGCAGTTTTCCGTATCATCATCAGACGAAAATGAGGGAAAAGATTTATGCACAGCTTCTGTGACAAAGAAAACCACTGATGCAACAAGTACCACCACCGTAATAACTTCCGCCACTCCTAGTACTGTTCCAGCATCAATAACACCAACTATTTCTCCCTCGACCACCACCACTACTACCAGAAGTACAAAAACAAAGGAAATAATAGAAGAATTATCACAAAAGAATACGTTAGTAATTGACAAAAAAAGTAAATCGGAATCAGTCAAAAATGTTGAAAAACAAAAAGTTCGTGATCAGTTGAATGTCAATTTGAATGAAAGCAAGAATTACATGCCTGAAATTTTGTCTACGCCAACAAATGAAAATGAAGAACAACAACACCAATCGGTGTTACAGTCTACTTCTGTAAGTTTTATTCACTTTAAGTTCGTTAAATTCAAAATAAACGGGTTAAACAAGTATAACTTTAGAAATTAATTTGACACATCTTTCTAACCTGTAATATTTGACTAACACTATTTCCTGACTCCCGATCATAATTGATACACTGACATAATGCTCCAGCTTGTATATCACGACCATGACACAGTTAAGTCATGTTAGTTAGAACATTTATTTGTTGATATTTTTATCTGTGCTCATATGTAACTAACATCTTTAAGTCTGTTGGTTTCTCACTTTCTTCCATAGTTCTGTAGTGTACAATAACATGATGTTCGTTAGTTATTGGTGAATAAATGTTATATCCTGTAGTCGAGTGGATGCCTAGTTAACGTATGTCGTGATAAGACCGTCAATCAGAGAGCAGCGAATTATCGATTGGACACGTGAAAACCGTACGAGCAGTCTAGAGTACGTATCGGTCCTGCTTTCTGCCTAGCCCAGCCAGTTAAGTCCAGAACATCAATAACAGCCTCTGCGGTATGAATCATTATATTTCAAACATACTGAGTTTATATACCAAACAGACTGACCACATCGTACCAATAAAATAGAAAATAACATTTGTACAAGATTTAACCAAATGTGGCTGTGAATACGGGGAGCAGTAATTAATAGACTGGGTATAACTCAGGAATGGTAAACGTACAATAATAGTCCAAGGGTCAAAATAAAGCTCACAATGGAAGGAATATGAATATGAATAGTTTAATTATTTAGCAAATATACGATAAAAATTATATGCATAAAATTGGTCCATAAATGGATCCCAAAGTTACCTTTCACTATTGTTATCGGGGCATAACAATAAATGTGAATTATTGTTTAACTTAGTATTCTGTTAATACGTTATGAAGTTAGTAAGTTAGTCCTTATCACGGTACAAACTAGAATGAGTTTGTATTGTTTATTACTACAATAGAAGAAATATCTTTGTGTATAAAAGTGTTCAGTATCTGGAGTATTACATCTCGTCAATTTGTTTAGTTTCAGTATGCAACTGTTTAAACATTGTCTACTAAAAATTTTATCACAATTGATCCAAAATGCGTGATGGATGCATAAACATCATGTTATTTTCCAATGTAACAGTCAGGCCTGTCACATGATCACAAAAGCTTTTTCCATACTGTATTTAACCATAGGGAAAGTCATTGGAAAATGTTCGTGTATCATTTAGTTAGTAATGAACCGGTATTCGTTATAAAAAATAAAACTAGCTGGATGTACTTTTTTTATGTTTCCTTTTGGTAGTATTTTCATCGTTTTATCGTCATTATTGTAGTAGCACGTTGTGTCGTTGTGTAAATGTACCCTTGATGATTGTGCTTAGTTTTCACATTTACAAGTAATCGCATCAATAAGCAGGTACATAGTGTTTTTTGTTCCGCCCTATGTGTGTGTGTCCCATTTAGTAGTATGATCAGCACTGAATTATTCCATTATTGCCACACTGGATACATATATACCGACAAAGACTGATCAGGACTCAGTCCTAGATATCAACAACGGAGTAATTCAAAACTTATTAATAAGAACCTAAATATCATAAATATTAAACAAGTTAGTGGCTATATACACTCAGTTGTTCAGTGAATAGCGCATCGGTTGTTGAAACAGAAGTCGCGATCAATGTTTTTGATGTGTTTCCCATTTCTGTGTTAGGGAAAGCTGACCGACTACTTCCGAACGCTACTTACTGTCGGACTAATTACGATTTGGTCAAGCTATATATGTTATTTCATTTTACTCAATGTATAAAAGTTCTTTCTCAGTTAAGACATTTGCATAATCTTCTGGGGAATCCTATGTGCATCAATAATTTAGGATACGGGTTATTCATTTCAAGTAGATAGAGGCTATTTGTTCACTGATTTGTTTGTTCTATGCACCAAACGTCTTATTCTCTGTCAATTGTTCATCATCTCAGTTAAAATCTTGCTTAGCTTTTATTACGCAGCTGTTATCTGGACAGTAATTGTTCTTAAAAATCGTAAATAACCTGTTAGTTGACGATTTACTGTTAGAAATCATTTCTGTCAGAGGTATCAGTCAAAGAACAGTGAAATATGCTTTATGTTTATGTACTATTAACAGATTATTTTCACTTCAAGATAAAATCATATGATCTGAACACTATCTAATAATACATAGTTATTTGTTTGATAAAACTGTTTAACTCTTCCCTCACTGAACTAAAAAAAGAGATTTGAAGTAAGAGATGAAAACAAAGTTGATTGAAACAAACAACTATTGTTTATACACTACAATGTGAAATACATCATATTGTATATCATCATTATGTTATTTGGAGGTTTACATGTAATGTTAAATTCTACTAAGGTCAAAACCCAAAGGTTATATATATATATATATATATATATATATATATATATATATATATATATATATATATATATATATATATATGACCATTCGGTTTATTCGTCCATCCTGTTGAATTATTTTGACCATTTGGCTATTCTTACTAGCTGTTATGCATACTATAGATCTCTTCAGAGCCTAATAGACAAACCTGTACTTAGTTGTCGGGTTTCCTTAATTTTTATATTGTTGTGGATTGTTGACGGTCCCGTAACACTGACGTACCTAATAAGTATGACATGAATTAAATTCAACTTAGTATTGTTTGTTTGAATTAAGGCTATATCGAGGCAATACGCACAGTATGCACATATGCCAATTGGAGATTGACCAGTTGCAGTCCTAACAAATCGATGGGAAGATTCAAACATACAATACTAAGTTGAATTTAAACTTCACCCCATCGCACAAGCAAGTGGCTATCAGGACTCAGTAGCCGAGTGGATAACGCGATGGCGTTTGAAGCGAGGGTACTGGGTTCGAGTCCCAGAGTGAACATCAACTCAGAGATGCAGGTACATTCAGCTGACGAGTCCCAAATAGGACGAAACGTGCGTCCTGGATTCCACTATCCATCTCTACTTACTGTGACATGAATTGTTTGGAAAAAATTGAACTGGTGATACATTTATGGACTAAACCACTTATTTAGAAATCTGACTTCAATATAATGGACAAGATTGGTTCTATCTTTGTCTTCTCTACCAGCTAACTGGGGTGAGAAGCCCAAGTTTATGCAGGATCGTTTCTTGACAGAGACGGGAATAATGAAATCACAATCAAGTTAATTCATTTTTATGTATGAATTAATTCAATGATTATTAAGTGCAAAATTTTATCAAACTTAGTGACTGTCACTTTGTACAAAATCATAATAAATTTATGGATACTATGAAGATATCTCAAAATCTATTAACTAACTTCATGCTGAATGACCTGATACGATTGCAAGTTCACTGAAAGTCGATTAACTAAATTCATTCTGAACAATTTTCTACAATGAAAATCCTTTATGAGTTAACTGAACTAAAATCATTTGATATCGGTGCACGAATTTTAAGATTAATTTTCTCCCTCATACGCTGTAATTGGGGATTTCACATTTCCAACAACTAAACGTGAAGTAAATCCACTACACTATCATAGTGTAATTTAAGGTTTGTGTTATATTTTGTGGCCTGCAAATACATCAGTTCGTAATACTGTTTGTTTCTGAATGTATTACAGTGTTAATACCTGAAAAACAGCCCCTACTTAAAGGTCTTGCCGAACCAGACAGTTCTATATCCTGGCTTGTCATCATAAACATTCGGTTTCACAACGTGTATGCTACATTTTGTATCCTACTAATTTGGTAAAGCTGATCTATGGTAAGGGCAAGCCAATGAGGAATGTGTAAATAATTCCAAGGTCTTAGAGCAAAATTCTTTAATTAGCATGTCGTCTGCCGATAATAAAAGGATAATCTCACGGATTTACCCATTGGTTGTATTGTGAATAATTAGACTCATTATCACAAGATACTTGAGTTTGGGGTCAAAAATATAATCCGAACTTTGGGGTTAAGATGTAGAGTTCAAAGTCATGCGTTAGGATTGTAATTAGGACTAAAGTGTTGAGTTAGAAGTTCAGCTTCATCGATTAATTTAGCTTCAACCAGTTTGGTTAATTATTATTATTCTTACTTTTCAGACGTCTGAACGTGTCCACTTAGATGCACAACTTTACAATTGGAATGGATGGTATTTCTTCTGTATGGGTCAATTATTATCAATTTTCAATGGTTTCGCTTTTATTACAATACAATTACAACCAGAAGATGGCGGTCTGCGTGTACTGTGTATTCATAATTCTGCACATAGAAACAATCCAGTACCAATTCAGTTACATCCCGGTGAAAATCCCTTTTCACGTCCTAGTAAGTTTAATTAATTGATTGAACAATACTTTCAACGAATATTATGTAACTTAAGCACTGACAACTTAAGAAACAATGCTTTCAAAATGTGTATGAGGATGTTTCCTATGATGGCGCATACGTAATACCTTATGGCAACCGTTGCTGCTACCTTGACGTGGTGGTCGGGCTTGTCTATCTTGATGATTCAATCGAGCTATACTGGCTGGAACAATCGTTCCTCAAGGTCCTACCATGCCAGACAGGTCGGTTGAAGAGCGGTGAGACTAAAAGCAGCAAACCCAAGGTCCGAAGGCGAAGTCGTACTGCTGACTGTACAGAGGTGTTACGGCAGTAAGGTTTTTCCTTCAGACAACCAGCATAACAGCGATGCTGCCTTCCCACAAGGACAGGTGGGGTTAGAAAAGGTCGACCCTAAAAATGCACACCTCGCCTTATCCCACGGATATCCGTCTCCGGCGGTAAGGTCCTTTGAAGAACGGAGCTAACACAAAAACTACCCACAAAAAGGTCGTGTGTGACCGACCTCAAGCAGTTGTCCCTTGGGCACTGCGATCACGCTCTCAGGTCATTAAGACCACCTCTAACCCAATTTCCTTTTCAGGTACCTCTAGAAGAAGCCTTCCATGGTGTGGGTACCTGGGAAGTGACAACTGCCCTCATACCTCTAACAGCACTCAATGGCAACCATGTCCGGTGATGATATAACCGAAGTTTTTCATCCTTTAATTGAATTAGCATTTCACTACTAAAAATAACAATAAGTTATTCGGTTTTTTTCCTTTAACATTTTGACTTCTGTTACCGTTTATTATTATTGTTCATGGCTTTATGCAATATTATTTACTTTCCAAGGTAGGAGACAGATTTCGGGAGTAGCTTTCAGTATATTCGTTCGTGTAACACTTGAAAAATATTTATCAGTTTTAATCATCCCAAATATGAATGTAGAAATTTAACGTAAAAATTGAGATTCTTGGAAACATTAAAAATTTGTCTACCAAAGTAGTATTGTTAAGAGTTCGTATAGTTTTTGTTGAAAATCGTCCACAATTTTTCTAAAAGACCTAAAAGACCTCGTGTTCAGGGAAATTTCAAAGAAATCATTATTCCAACTTAATAAAAGCTTGTAGGTTTATTCGATACTAATTTTGTTGTGAGTGAGAACACAGGTGAGGACAACCAACTATGTATTTAGCGCAAATTACAACGTTACTTGGTAAAATACAAAAACCATGCTATGATACACTATTTGCAAAATGTTCTTCAATTGCCTCAGACTTCATTGTTCCTGGATTTCCACACAAATTGCTTTTTATTTCTGTTCTTCTCTTCTTGATCTTCTCAATCTTCTGCTGTCAGATATTCTATTCCTTACTCACCATATATACTACTTATGTCGATATCAGTAGCTCACACCACAATTTCACACTAATTCTTTTTATTCCAAAAACAAGTAATATGTTAATAGTTAGCCTATTCAGTGTGGTGGAAATTCATACCGTATAGATAAAATTCATACAATGATTCCTATAATTCATTTTAATGCATCTCTTTTTAATACCCTAATTGTTTCTACAATTTCTAGGTTTAAAATCACGAATGCTTCGTATGCATCAACATTTAATGGAGCTCATTGATAGTAATATCACAATTACACCATTATTTAAAGATGTTGACACTGAAACTGTACAAACTACAGAGAATGATGAAGGTAGAGAACAAACAAATCAACTGGATTCTGTGAAAAAACAAACACAATTAAATATACTAACTCATTCTAGTTTATCTAATTTAGAAGCTTCACATAATAATGCACGACGTTTTCGTAGACGCCTCGGTCTGCGTCATGATCCTATTGCTATCAATTTAGCAGCTACAACAATGGGAGGTCATACATCTAAGCTTCAACGCCAAGCTTCATCACCGGCCCGTGTTTGCCTTACTTCAAGATTTTCAACAAGAATTCCGATTCAGTCTAATCCCACTGAGAGTAGTGGTCTTTTAGATTCAACTACTTCGGTAGCTTTTGGTTCAATCATTTGTAGTTTGTTAAAACGGAAAGATGGAACATATGTTTCTGTGAAACCACGCGCACCTACAGTCTTTAGTTCAAAATCATCACTCAATGAAGCGTTGTTGCTTTCTGAGAATTTTTGTAGTGGTTTCAAACGTGTACGTATTGCTTCGATTAGTATAGAAACACCGGTTTCATCTGCAAATACAGAGTTCAACAATACAGCATCAAAAACACAAACTAATCCAAATGTGTTGTTAAAGTCAACTAAACGACATTCAAGAAGTTTCATAAGTATGTTTTCACAACTTGATATACCACCGAGTGTGTCTTATACACCTTTTATTACTACTACCACTGCTTCCGGTGCTACTATTAATCGTAGTAATAGTAGTAGTGTCAATGCTAATATTACCACTCCTACTGTATCTGGCACTTCAATTTATTCTCAGAGTATACCGGAAATTTTCGATTTTGACTCTTTGATCAATTCAGATTCGCTGAATATAGGTACAGACTATTTAAATTTATGTGATACAACATCTTTTGAAACAACTACTGAAAGTAATATTACGACAGATTTTACCGATGATGATAGTTATAATGATGGTGATCGTAAATTTAGTAAAACTGATCATTCGCTTACAAATGCTACTAATATGGAATTGTCGAGAATTGATAAATTATTTTTTCCTAATGAAATTATCCATGAAACATATAATAGTGGGCAATTGGTTGTTTTGTTGCGTACAGAAGAGTAAGTGGATTTTACAACTGTGTTTTAATTCCATTATGTATGAGGATCACCATCCTTTTCCAATGTTCTATTTAAGCGCAATATCTATCATTTTTGAACATTTTCCCCTTAGTAAGTGGATGAGTGTTTCATTGAGAAAATATCGTTTTCACTAGAGATTTTATTTTAATCATTTGAAGCTATCTACAATGCCTGCTATCAATAAACGATTGTAGCGCATCTCAACGTTTTGGATGGGAAAAAACAAATGACAGGCAGAATACTTGGAGACCAGACGAGAAGACAGTTCAGATCTCAGAACACACCGAGAGATAGAAATGGATGATTGAAAGCTATGTATATGCATTATGTAAACTTTGTAACTTCTCTCAAAAATATAGATTACCTTCTACTTATTGCTTTCTTTTACAGTAGGAGGACACAGAGCATGTGATTTGAACTTTGTCACACCAGCCAACCTAATGAGTTAGGTTTGAATCAGGTTATATGTGAAAATAAACCATATGTAAAATAAATAGACGTTTATAGACGAAGCATATACATACATTTATATAGTAAACATACACCCCACTAGTTATATAAGAAATAGTACAACATAATATAATAGGTTTGTAAATGACCTGCTAATCAGGCTTGTACAAACAAAATGAATTGTACGTAAATGTGGTAATATCCGGTGCAATTTTTTTCGAAAAACGTTTATTTTACCCTAATATAATTTTCGGCTGTTTTTTTATAGCTTAGGATGTTCAGACCGCTGTTATTTATTTCAATGTTATGCTATTTGAAACAACTGATTGGTTGTAGGCTCTAAAACATTTGTGGTTTTGGTGAATATTTGAAGTTTTTGTGGGCTATCGAGATGTGTTTGATCATAAAACGTAGTTATTACTAATAATTTTTGGTGTTAAACTGTTATCTTTGCTTGTTTTAAAAGTTGCAAAAATGTCCTAAAACTTAACAAAGACGTGAACAAAAAGTTTCCAAGTTGTATTGAAGGTACATCTTGGTTACGAGTTTCAATTAACAAAAAATCTAGGTCCACAGTTTCCTATAGATTAACCTCAGTTGCCTAACATCAAAACATTATGATTTTAATGTCGAGTCACTTAGACTATTTGTCACATAATTTTATTGATAGAGTCTGATCAGCATCAAAGGACAAGAAATGTGATATTATCTTTTTTTATTGAGACCATGAACAGATTGATGTCAGACCACCATTGAGAACCTGAAAGCACTGGATGGCCGTTTCGTCCCACAGTGTGCATCCATAATCCCGCTCGCGGGATTCGAACATGTGATCATTAGTGACCAGCTTCGTGAGGGAATTCTTTGAGTTCTAGTGAAAAGCCGTGAGCAGTGGAGCTAATCTGTGTCAGATAGAGACAGGTATCTACCTCAGTACAGTGGAAGATGGTCACGCGATTTCGTGGATTGGTTGTGGTTAGACATTGACACCGTTAGATAGCGGCTCAGTGGTTTACAGGTTAAGTGCTTGCGCGCAAAACCGAAGGTCCTGGGTTCGAATCCCGCGTGCGGGATCGTGGGTGCTCACTGCTGAGGGTCCCACAGTAGGATTAGGCGGCCGTCCAGTGCTTCCAGGTTTTCAATGGAGATCTATCATCATTCGGTTCATGATCTCAATCAAAAATATAATAATCTCCACAAGCCTAGTCAGAATTTATTGACTGATATTCAATGCCATTAAGAATAAAACGAATGTTTCGTAAATACTGCTCTATACTTTTATCTATCTATTTTTTCCAGTTTTAAATTTATTTTGTGTTTTCTTCGTTTTACGCCCTTTTTCCTTTTCTATCTTACATATTCAATAGTGATGATTCACGATCATCTGAATCAACCATTGAACGTCTTATCCTCATAAGAAAACATATGTTAACTTTAGCTAATCAATTATTAGAGAGATTACAAATTGATACATATTTATCTTCAACTAATTATACATCATTATCAACAACATCGTCATTGTCAGGGATTATTGATAAAATTGGACCAATTAATGCATTGAATAGAATTAAACTAATAGTTATGCAAATATGGGATATATTTAAAATGGATAAAGTTTATTCATTCAGTGTAACATTGAATAAATTATTTATTGTTTTTAAAAAATTATCTGATCTATTAAATGAAGGTGAACAAACAATTACAGCTTATGAATTAACTACAAGTGGTTTAATACAAGTTTTATTATTATGCTTGTCTGTTGCATATGCTGGTCATTGGCATTGTCATGTAGGTTTATCATTGTTTATCTCTTTGTTTGTTTGTATATTATTCATAACTCAAATGAGTTAATATGTACAAATCTATGTATTTAGCTTCAAATTGTACTTTAAGTATGAGCTAATGATACTACTCAGCTACCTAAACTGAAATAGATGAAAGCAGAGTTGGAAGATGAATGTCTTAGTCATGCGACCGCCGCTCAATCTATTTATGGATGGAGTTACATCTTTTTTAGTTATTTGATTTCCGAGATCAACTTACTCATTGCTTGGAGAAAATATTTTAAGCTTTTATGAAAACTCTTTTCTATGTTTTGTGAAGAACTACATAGTTTAGGAGTTAGTCTTTATCATATAAACTAATATCATCTGGAAAGCTATTGAAAACTATAGAGACTTAAACAACTATTTTGTTATGATCATAGTCCACTCAATAATACACACGCAAAACATTACGTAATATTCAACCTGAAGACTTGTAAATATTGCATGGAGTAGAATACTTTTAGGCTATTGGGTCAGAATACGTTTCTTGATCGTATTGTATTTCTCTTGTTCATTAATATATTTTGGTTTTCATCCATATATTATCTGGTGTATTTCGTTATTTTATCTACATATAGATATTTTCTATGGAATTGGACAATACAACAGCTTTATTGTGGTATCTTCAAGAGAGGAGACGAGTATTTGTACTAAATATGCTATCATATTCCAAGTCCAAAAGTATATCACTTCTTGTTAGACGTTTAGTACAAGCTTTTGAGTTAACAGAGCATCTTCCATTACGATTATTTTCTGCAGCTCATCTGTTACGATCATCATCTACAAATGCTTCGTCAGTTCATCATGACACATCGAATCACAAACTGGACAGGAATAATACGAATAATAATATGAATGATAGTAATAAAACACTTAAGAACACAAATACAAATTATATTCCGCCCACTAATTTAATAAATAGGATTGGTTATTCTGCATCTTTACCAATTAATTTTATTAATTCCTCATTCAGTCGTTGTCATTCAGGCATTTATACAGATCATGGTGATCCAGTTTCTATCAATTTTAAACAACCATTTCAAGATAGTATGGATGCTAAAGAATTAGCTGCTCTGCTACGTTTTTGTCCTATTCTCTTGGATTATCCAGAATTTGATTCATGTTTTACGCCTAGTCTGCATCAAATTGCTAAACGCCTACCTTTATATTTGGATAAATTGTCAAACCTACCATCAGTTGTCGAGTTGAAGAGTAATAATAACGATAATAATACTACAGAGAATAAACTACATCATAATAAATCAAAACGATTATATAATTGGCGTGGTAAATTGCTTTTTGTAAGCCCTTTAGCGACTGTTGGTCAATTAGAACGTTTCCTTAGTCGTATGTCAACAAAACAATGGTAAGCCAATTGATTCATGAATTTACATATATTTTCAGTAGTATTATATAATCGTGGTTTAGATTTTAATTAAATGATGGTGACAAACTATACGCATAGTTACTTACTAGACTAGAACTTGCGTGTATGTATTATGAAGGATGATTTATTTATTTATTTATTTAAAGATAAATATTGGTACAAGGGGGCACCAGATGTATATGCGCCACACAAAACAATGAGAATGGGAAGAGAAAAGGGGTAAGGTGCATATAAAAAAAGAAGGAACAACAAGAACCATAGAGTGTATGTTAGCGTAATAAAAGTAATAATAGGGGAAACAGAAATGTGCAACCAGAAGATCTCTTTCAGTTAATGAAGTTATGACCACTCTTTATGAAGAAAGTAAAAGAAGGTTATGGCAAGATCGCCACTGGCTTCTATTCTGAGCCATATCTGATAACGTCTATAGCCACTGTGTTGCACCATCTCTCGGACCCCAGCCAGGGAGTCGTGAAGGACCAACAGAAGCCAGTCCTTTGCAGCTCTCTTTCATACCACGACACCATGCCATACACTGACCGAAGGATGATGATACTCAGTATCTTGCTACTGAGAATTTACTGGGTGGTGTGTTGCCGTTTTTATTTAAATTTTGCTACACTTTGTTGATCGTAGCTGTTATCTTGATGACCAAACCGAGCTATATTATCTGGAACATTCTTTCCTGTAAGTCTTATCATACCATACAAGTCAGTTATAGAGCAGTAAGATTAAAAGTACTAAACCTTTTGTTCAAGGTTGATGTTGTACTAAGGCAGTTTAGTGTTTTCCTCAAACTAACAGTACTCGCGATAATGCTGCCTTTAGGTTTGATACACCATCTGACTGCGAGAACTAAAGTAGTCGGTCGAGTGGCATTGTAATCTGTTTTTTGAATGTTTAAAAGTTGAGTGCGTTATCTATACTCAGTTCTTCTACTACCTACTTTATTCCCGACGCTCTGTAAGTTTGTCATCTGTCAAATCTCACCTGTAAAGTGAAGTTTTGTTTATCGAAGTCATATTTACTATTTTATTGCTCACAATTATTATTGTTACCAGAACTCTGCAAATCACACTGTAGTGGGTTAAGAATATTTTGTGGTAAGGATAACGGCAATTCCATATTCTCTCGTTCTCAATCTTTAGTACGATAAATAGTGGTTAATAACGACTGATAATACCATGGCCCATATATCAATAGAGATCTTCGATATTTTATCCGAAATACTCTACTGTTTACAGATGATATTGATTGGTACAACACATTGGGTATCATCTATTATTGCCTTTCATATTGTCTAGTATTATGTTTCAGATCAGTAGTAGTGATATTGTAACAAAGGTATTAGAAAGGTTTGTTTATTCGCCATTGTAGAATGGTAACAATAGAAAATTGGAATATATTAGTTCAAGCAATTCTTTTTACGAATGCTTTCTCTTCACTAGGATAATTCATAGTTTATTGCTGTTCAATATTAATGTCGTGTGATAGCAGTCATTTGATTTTTTGTAAAAACGCTCGTGACACATCGATTTTCGAGTAATTTTCAAAACTCATTTTTAAAAAACTATATTGGTTATTGAAATATTTCTATTAATGTTTAAGACTGAGATTGATCAATCTCTTTTTTACTAAGTTTGAGTTCTAAGGTCAACATCAACTCTGGAATGCAGGTACAACCAGCTGTCACGTCCCAAATAGGATAAAATGCTCATCCTGGATTCTATTGCTAGTCACCATCTATATTTTCTCTTGATTTGTATTTTCCCTATTTTTAAGGTCTAATGTAAATGTTTTTTAATTGTTTACCTGTTTGTTAGGTATGAATGTTCTCGCCTTGATCTTAATTTATGGAGTCAAATTCATTTAGCCAATAGTTTTAATTCTACCTCCGGTTTGTACTTTCCTGCACCTCCACCTGGAAATAGTTCAGCTGATTATCTTGGTGGTATAATCGACTGGCTTGCAACTAATGGTAATCGTCGTCCTTTAGAAGATTGGATTAATCCAGCCATTGTTGGATTGATTAGTATAGCTGCATCAACAAGTAGTCCTGTTAAAGGTAGAGCAGTTTCAATATTAGGACCTCAAGCGGGAGCTCTAGTTGGTGGTTATACAATCAGAGGTAGTGGAATAGGAGTGGTAGTTAAACCGAAACGTATGAATTGTCCAAATGGATCTAATCAAAATGAAAGTCGAGGCAAAAAATCGATGTCAGATCAAAAATCAAGTCATACTTCATTTTCTACTGTTAATATAAATGAGAATGAAACGCATGCTTGGATAGCAGTTGATTTAGGTTTACAATTAATACCGACTGCATATACTTTAGCTTATTTAAGGCGAGCGGATGCTTCAGAACATTCACTAGCACCTAGGAATTGGAAATTAGAGGTTAGTTGTGTTTCTGTTGATCGAGTAAAGTAATCTGATTCCAACTTAAAACCGAGTATACCAATTTTTTTTAAGTTCGATTTAAGTACTTATGTTGGGAGCCGTTAACTATTGAATACATTTGATAAGTTCATTCCCAACTTACTCAGATCAAATTAACATAGGTCTCATCTTTTTAATCTCTCTTTAATCAACTACTATTTACTTTACCATTCATTGTAAAACGATAGTTAGAATATTTAAGTATAGAGGTACATAACAAATAAACAAACGAGTACCCTGCTGAAATCATGAACCGATTTAAGTTAGGTATCCATTAGAGCATAGAAGCATTGGACCGTCGTCCCATCCTAATATGGGACTTCTCAGATCCAGTTCTAGCGAGAAGCTGCGAGCAGTGGAGTTAAAACGTGTTGGTTGTGCGAAAGGTACGCACTAAAGACAATGAGAGATGGTTTTGGAGTATCGTGGATTGATTGAAATTGGACTTGTGCACCACTGGATCATAGCTCAGTCGTTCAAAGGTTAAGCGTTTGCGCGGCACCGGAGGTCATAAATCCGATTCCCATTTTCGGGGTTGTGGATGGGCACTGCTTAGGAGTAAGATGGTGGTTGGAGGTGGTCAACAGGAAACCCTGGACCCGGGTTTCGTGCTACTTGGCACTCGTCAGCAAGGTGTACCTGTAATCTTGAGGGAACTGATGCTCCCTGGCGGATTCGATCCCGTGTCACTCAGCTTCACAGTCAGAGACGTTACCACTGAGCTATTCGGGCCGCGACCTGACACGCATGACATTGATCACCACCCAGTGATCAATCAATTGTGACTGCTTAGGAGTCCCACACTTCGATCAAACATCTGTCTAAAACTCTCAGGCCTTCAATTGCTTGACGTAGATCGGTTTGTGGTCATAATAAGATTCAACGATCTCTGTAACCCCTTAGTGATGAGTAAATATTTGCTTACATCATTATTAGTATAAGCTTGAGTTACTACTACCACTCAATTAATTACTTCTATGAATCCGGTGTTCATCTTGTTGTGCTAACGAGGTATGGCAACTTGGACCGATGCATAAATGTGCCTGGTCCTACGTTGTAGCTGACTGACTGAAGTTTGAGTTATCTCATTGCTTATATTCCTGACTGGGTTTTGGTCGTTTGCTGTTATTGTTGTTGCCAATTCCGCATATTGTGCAGATTGCTTTGATATATCTATATTGTCACAAGTTTTGTGTAGGTTTGAAGCAAAAGCTACTGGGTTCAAATCCTAGTGTGAATATCCAGCTAACGATTTTCATATAGGACAAAAAATATTTTATGGATCCCACTGCTAAATACAATCCATTCCATAAAAATTATTTCATTGTATAATTCATGGATGAGAATTCTTCTTTCAACGATATTATTTTCTGAGGCTGTACAATCGTATTTATGATGGTTTAAAAGGTATCTAGTAGTCTAGTAAGAAAAAGTGACTACATTATCAAGTGTTCAGCGACTTAATTTTCATAAGGAGGTTCTGTAATCATCTAAACCTTGAATACAAATTGTGAGATCAGAATAGTTTATAGATAAGAAACTCGAAACTCGACACATTTATAAAAGAAATTAAGAACAGTGCAGGAATATTAACTGAATAGTGAACATAGAAATTTCAATGGAGGTAATAATAACTGATTATCAAGTAAAAATTGTCTGATTGGGATGGTGGTATAATGAGAGATTTCGCATACACTAGTTTTGCACACTCAACTTTCAGGCTTGAAAGGATGAGTTGGTAAAGCCTGCATCAGGTTTTTTATTTAAATTTGTTTTTAAAGTGTTAATCCGTCATTTGATTTCCTTTGCATTAAACTACTAGGCTTCCAACGACGCTGTGACTTGGATTGTTTTACGTGAACATAACAATGATTCAAGTATTCAATCAGTTTCAGGTAGTCGTGCCACATGGAGTATAAATTCATATCATAATAATTATAATGGTAATAAAGCTGAAACAATTTCTTCAACCCTGAACACAGCATGTACTAAAGAATCTATAAGAGGTTGGCGCTTTTTTAAAATTCAAACAACTGGAACAAATGCAAATTGCGGCAAACAATTAGCTCTTGGCGGTTTAGAATTTTATGGTAACGTTTATTCTGTACATGATTCGGTAAGTTTGATCTCAATGCTTTTTATCTGTTAGAAGTTAATAAGAAAAATAATTCCTCTTGTGTATTAAAGTTTTTACGTTGTTAACTCAAAGTTTGCTACCACTGAGTAGCTTTGGAAAAGGTTTATACTTGAAATTTTATGTTTTCATTTCATTATTCTTCCCGTCAAAGTTAAACTCTTTTTCATGAGAGACCGTACGGAATCAATTTTTCATTTATTGAAAGAAAACTATTTCATTAACGTACGCTCTGCTTGCAGTAATTGAGAATTCTTCTTTGCATAGATCACATTACGTATTGATCTTAACTAGACAGCTATTGAACAAACGGTTGGGTCGTGGATGGACATTACTTAAGACTTCCATGCTAGAACGAATTAGTTGTCCGGTTCTTCTTGGTTTTCTATCGTTGTCTATCTGAGATCAATGAGTGACGTCATTCATGAAAATATCCACAAATCACCTATAGTAATTCTAATTTGGTTACTTTTGAGTGAGTATATTGTGGGAATAATTTACTCCAGTATATCATTAGCTTGTATCGTTGCGACATTTTAGTGGTTTATCAAGATCTTCACTAACTGCTTTCTTTTTGATTACTTAATACTAAAATTATGTAGGTTTCACAATCATCACCGGTGGTTTAACTATTAAAACATTCAGCTTGTAAGTTGTAGGTGTCTGGTAGGTTATGACAAACTCCACCATCTTATATGTAGCCGATTGGGTAATATTAATATCTCTCACACTGATAATGGGATTCAGGTGATTACATAGACTTTTACTTGGTAAATAAGTTCTAACATTTTTTACGATGTTTTTATTCGTGAAAGATTAATGTTTAACACTTGTCAATGATCCCCATATTTTTTGTTTTGTATTAACAATAAACGTATATGGTATTCTGTCGTATTAAATAAAGACATAATCTCTGATGAGATAAATATCTTATTATGTTCCGTCCTCTCTCTGTACGCTTTTCAGATTGCATTTAAATTAGGATGACGTTGTGCTTAACATTCTTGAATTTCAAACAGTGTGTTAGATGTTCTATCCTCCTCTGTAACAACTAGGGGTTTGAAAAAACGATTAAAACCATTAACTTTTGTGGGATGTTTTTGTTAGCATCCAACTTGATTTAATTGATCCCTCGAAGTTGGTACCAAATAACCCCATTCCTATCATTTTTCATGCACGTAATCATGTTACTACAGTTCATGGAGCAGCGGCTAGTGAATTACGGACTTCGACTTTCAGCTACTAAGTCGTGGGTTAAAGCCATATTTTACATACCTCAGTGTAGCACGAAATCAAGTACATGAATCTATGCCTGGTAAATTAGTCGATCTCCGTTAAGGTTCACTAAATATGATTATTATTGAAAATCGTGGCTTGACCAAGTAAACTACAGTAGTGATACATAAATGTTTTCTGTTTCTTCTAGGTATTGACTCCTAGTGCTTTAGCACAGAAGATCTATTCAATTTCATCTGAAAGAAAAGATGCTTCTCCTCCTCCTCCTCAAATGATAGCAAAATCAATGTCATCATCATCATGGTTAACAGTAAATGTGAAACTGTCTACAAATAATCGAAGCAGTCAGGTTGATCAAAATGAAATGAATAATGATGCTAATGATATTAACAATTGTACGGTTATAAAAAGTGATACTGAAGAAATAACTGAAGAAAACTCTTCATCAAAATCATCTAATTTAAATATTACGCTTAAACAAATAGACAATCATAGGAGAGATCCAAAGTCGTCCAATGATGAAATAATTCGTCATCATATTACTTCAATAATATCATCGTCATCATCATCTCAACAGAAGAATCCCATAGATGATAATTATGAAGAAGAGGAAGAACAAGTAGAAGCAGAAGAAAAAGAACATGATAATCATGTAGATGTTGATGATAATGATGATGACGATGATGACAATGACGATGATGATGATGATGATGGTATTGGTAAAAATATTACTAAAAGCCTTAATCATGAATCAAGTGATACTTTAATGAATATCTTATTCGATGAGGAAGCTGGTTCTGATGACAATATGATGACAAGTGCAAGTAAATCGGATGTGGATATGATTTTAGAATTATCTGCTAAAAAATTGGATAATTTAAATATTTTATCCAGTGGAACAGTAAGTCTCCTTATTTCATTCCTCCTCTCTTTACCTCGGTTAATATTCATACATTTTAATTGACTTAATTTTTCTTGTATACTCTTCAAATTTATGTTAAATTTGTTCATTTATAAGTCTATACTGTTGAATCATTACGATTTTGTTATGATAGGCAGAATACAAATGATCTTGATTATTGTATGAATTTCGTTTTCCATTTTTACTGTCATTGATTTATCAGATCAGTAAATAACGATGATACGTTTATCAATCTGATACGTCTTGTAAGTTGAACGCTATATTCAGATCCTAAGCTATTCTGATAACCCCAGGCTAGAACTACTCAGCGACTTGAACACCAGGGAGAAGACTGGAGTATGAGAGAAAACACTTTAGTGCAAAGTTCATTTATGTACAGAAAATGCAGGGATTTTATAGTAATTAAGAGACCTTGAGTTTACATAGTAGCAGTGTGTTAATCAGCCAATCAGGATCTCGTTATTTTAGTAACATAACTTCACACAACTTCTAATTAATCGCTGATTGGTTGGGGCTCTTCTTGAGCCTCTGGAGGCTCTGTTAGAGTTCTCTGGAAGCCGACTTAACACCTGTGGACCATCCTCACACAATCATTTATTGTGTATGTCAATACAATGATTGTTTAGTCCTTAATTATGATGAAATCCTGTCGATCAAATTGGTTGTGAACAATAGTCTAAGTAATTCGGCAGTAATTACATTATGTTTTTAGGTGGTTGTGGCATATATTAACTAGACTATGAAAAATCGTATCTCTGTAAGATTACATTTATGTAATTCTACAATTTCCAAACCCTTTTTAGTAATGTCTGTCTACCTAAAATACGTATGATATCAGACCAGTAGGAATTTTTAAACTATTTCCATCCTTTAAATAATGTAATTCTTCGTTGTAAATACCTGATTATCAATCCGGTTTGATTATACTTTAGTATATCAACGAGATTCTATGTCCTGCCTTTCCCAGTACAGCAGTCAGTCAGCGACAACGTAGGACCAGGCACATATATGCATCGGTCCAAGTTGCCATACCTCGTTAGCACAACAAGATGAACACCGGATTCATAGAAGTAATTAATTTAGTGGTGGTAGTATATAAAGAAAGGTTGTATTAAAGGATATAGTTTAAGAAGGAAAAAAAAGTTATGAAGCAATTTTAATCTCAAGGTTTAAGGGGAGATAAAGAGTGTATACACCTACGCCATTGTGATCGATTCTGAGCCATGTCACCCAGAGTCTTCAACCATTGGTTACGATAGTCACGCGGACCCCAATCAGGTAGTCTGCATCTACCAACATGGCTCAGACTAGAAGTTAGTAACTTCAAGCACTGATGCCATGTTTTGGTTTGGCCACCCCTGACTCCCTTCCAACCATCCCCTACACTAGTCAACATTGCGCGTCGTGGTAATCGATGTTCAGGCATACGTAACACGTGGCCCAGCCATCTCAGTCGATGAAGGTTCACAACCCCATCAACTGATTTACCATCATTTCCTAATACCATGTGTCTAACCTTACTATTACTTACCCGGTGATCACAGCAGATGCGAGCAATATTTCTAAGGCATCTGTGGTCAAATACTAGTAACCTACGAGTATCTTCTACTGTTAATGGCCATGTTTCGCAGCCATAGAGTAAAACAGAACGAACTGCTGCGCAGTATACTCGTCCCTTAATTGATAGACGGATATCTCGTCTTCGCCATAGGTGACGTAAGTTGGCAAAAGCCGAACGAGCTTTTGAATCCGTGCTGAGATTTCGTCAGACACCAACCCATTAGGGCTGATCAGACTTCCAAGATAAGTGAAGTTGTCGACGCGTTCGACTACTTCACTCCCTATCCTTAGTTCGGGTGTTGACGCAGGCCAGTCCTGGAGTAACAATTTACATTTGGATGAGGAGAAACGCATCCCAAACATCCTGGCATTATTACTGAGTTCCAACAGAAGAGTCTGCATTTTGTCAGCGTCTTCATCAAACAGGACTATGTCATCTGCGTATTCTAAGTCGATAAGTGAACCTCCTGGTAGAAGATCAATTCCTGTAAATTCAGTCGACGAGAGTGTTATTTCCAGCAACAAGTCTATAATGAAGTTAAACAAAAATGGGGATAGTGGACAGCCTTGTCGGACACCACTTGAGGTTGTAATATCATATGACAGTTCTCCATAAGCTCTCACTCGACTGGTAGTGTTCGAGTAAAGAGCCTTCACAAGGTTTATGTACTTCTCAGGTACACCTTTCAATGACAGACACTGCCACGGAACCTCTCGGTCTACAGAATCAAATGCTGCTTTCAAATCAAGAAAAACTATCATTGTCGGACGCTGATAAGCCCAGTACAGCAATCTAAAGTTGATTCTTAGACGAATATAACATTCATTAATTTTCTTGCACACATGTAAATGTAGTCATAGACTTTTTTTCAGCTTAATATTATTTTATATTTTACTTCAAAAATATTATCAATCTTCAAACTCACTTAACACTGAATGAGGTTGTTTTGTTTGCGTTTAGATTGATGACAAATTATTACACTGTTTCGGTAATCTCCTTGCCAGCGATAAATCATCACCAGAATTATATCAACTTCTACGTCGTATTGCGCCACAAGATTGTAAGTTTTTGATTAATTTTATATTAAAAAAGAAATGAATTTCAAACATATTTTCTTTATTTATTATAAATCAGTTAGTACCCTGTCACTCCTTTCATCATACACGTTCTGTGTTTCTCTATAACGATTTTTAATTTTATTTATTTATTTAAAAACATAAATATTGGTACAAAGGGGCACCATATATATAGGCGCCACATAAATCTCATTTGACTTGTGTGAGGGCTGTGATACTGCCCAGGTGCCCAAACTGAAGCAGGTAGTTTACTTAGGAGCCCACACCCGGAGACTTTGACCTAAAGGTCTAATCCATAAGGTAGTGCAGCATCGTGAGGAGATGCTCTCAATTTCGTAAACAGCATTGATGCCACGAGAAGACAGTGAGTAGGACTTCCCTGACAGAGGCTATTTACGCGTGGTCATATGAGAGCATTTCGAGAGTAAAGGCTGACTCTCCCCACTCTCGGCCTTACCAGGGCATTCGGGGGCATTTATTTCATTGAATAGTGGAAGATTTGCCTCATAAAAAATAATTGATAATTGATGCTACTATTTGATGCTACTAATTAAATTTCATATGTATACATTCATTACGAATTTAATTTACCATATTTTCGTTTTAATTCAGTGGATTATGATCTATTGAATAAATGTACATCACGTAGCATGGATAGTATACATTCTGGAGAAGAAGTACATCATTCAAAAGAAACGATGAATAATTATCAATCAGAGGATACAAAAAGAATTGATTCTATTATTCTGGATACTGGAGAAATAGATATTACAGAGCCTCATATTTCTTATATTGACCAGAGTAATCCAGAAGCATCTGGTGAATCTGATGTAAGAATTAATTTTATAGCTTATTTGGTTCATTTTAGCATTGTTTTATTCTTTAGTGTTCTATTGCTAGTTTGGACAGCATTATCAGCGCCTAATTTTAATAGTAGTTTGTTTTTCTTCAGAGTTATTCCACAAGTATAAGAAAAGTTCATTCTGTCAAACTTTCTTTCTTTTTACAGTTGGTTGTATCGGAATTCCATTATGTTATATTTTGCATTATAATTTGAATTCAGCTTTGACTATTTTATTCATCAACTAGTCACTAAAAAACTAATTATCATCCATGTTTTTTTTTCTAGTATCAAACTCGTCAGCAGTATATACAGAGCCACAATAATATTAGGGACCACATCCCCTAAACCTGTGGGTTTCAAAGAGTATGTGTTATCTTCACTATTGGATTGGTATACAACGATTAACATTTTTAATTTAGGTCAATTTGCGATACTATGCGATTATCATCATCATCTGTTTTATCTCAGTCTGTTATCTATTATCTGTTTTATATCAGTCTATAATCATAGTCAAATTCGAACCGAATTATCGTCACAAACATTCACATCGTAATTACTATATTTTAGCTACGAATAGATGAGTTGAGACTGTTAGTGAAATCCAGGACGGGTGTTTAATCCTATTTGATGCTCGTAAAGTGAATGTACCCTCATTCTAGTGTTGATATTCACATTGGGAAACAAACATATTACTTTTTGTTTCAAATGCCCAAAGCATTATCTACTGGTCTATTAAATCCAGATATTCCACAAACCATTCAGTTGGTATGGTGTTTAAATCATTATTAGCGAGCGTTTGGATTATCCCATTGTTTTTAATCATGTATGTTTGTACGCATATCGACATAGACTGATCGAAGTTCAGTCCTCGGTATCAACAACGCGATCATTCAAACACTTACTGATAATAATGTATTTAAGTCTAGTTTCACTGAAATTTATATAACAACCACTACTACTCTGCAATATCATTGCTGTTTTTTTGTCGTCGTTGTTTGATTTTCTTCTTCTTGTACTGTCAATATGTGAAGGTGTAACGATTTTCGTATTAGTTATCGCTTTTACTCGTTTCAATACATGCTGTTGTATTACAAATGGACATATTTTCGAACTAAATTCGTTAACTGTTTATTACCTGTAGTTGTTTTCCTTCCATCCCTCTTCCCTATCAGGTACCTGGTTTAGACTATCTACTTAATTCTATTGAACCAGAAGCTATAGAGTTTGCAGACACTGTAGAAGCTATAATTCGTAGTAATACTGTTCAAAATAGACGAAACAATATTGGTGATGATAATGAAAATCCGATTGACTTGACTATTAACAAAATATCACAAACTTCATCTCATTCATGGAAACATTTTCAATCGATCCAAAATGCTAATCATAAAAACAATAATCGCATATCAGTTGATCAACTAATACACAATGAGGAAGAGAAGTCAGAAAAGATTTGTGAGCCAATTGGACTACTTACTCAGTCATCTGAATCATATAGTAATTTACCAGTGATTAAAACTGTGAATACTGTAAGTTGTGTGGATGGTGGGCGCGTTTTATTGAATAATCAATATCGTTTGTGTTCAGCTTCGTATAATCAGATCATGTACATATTCTTTTACTTAACTTTGAATCGTATATTGTCTGTGTAGGAAGATATCCAGAAATGAAGTTGATAATAGATTTGGGATTCTAAGATGGTGGTGTACAAAAGTGTTTGACTGAGTAATTGTTGGTGTTTAAATTCAAAACAACACAAAGGCCTGATTAGCTTTGGAAACAAGGGATTTAAGTTACTCAATAAACTGTATTGATATTCATTGAGTTTATCAACTGGATGTACGGTCAGAGGGAAACGTGAAATTCCGGTGTAGATTAACTCTTCTCAAGCTGTATACTGACGATATTTGCATGGCGAGTGATGAAAGCTTCGCGATTGAGCTATGCATTTTTAAAACTTCATTTCATCCACAAAGGAATAGAATTCAAACTTGGTATCCAATGGTTGGCAGTCAGATATTTCAACAACTAAACTATCCTACTCACAAGAAAATTAGTATACAATGAGTCAATATTTCGAATACTGAAATCTTTCACAAACTGAACATAGAATCTAAACGCATTTGTATTGAAAGAATAAATATATCCGTATACAACACAAAAATCTTTTACTTATGTTTTCGCTTGAGAGTCTTTTTATTCTCAAGGTCAATATGCTTGTTGTTAATAATTATTCTCACATCTTCAGGTTTCAGATATTTATGCAAATGGCACTGGATATCTGATTTTGCTCTTTAATGTATTTATAAAACGTTTTGTTTATCAAATTAACCTTCTCTACTTATACATAACTCTAATTTGTCTATCAGTAGAATTGATTGGTTAAATTAATTGAAGTAAATTAGAATTAATTTATATGATATTATTGATATATCTGTTTCCTTGACATTTGTTCCATTATTGTAAAAGTCCATACCTCGGTAAATAACATTCGCGAAGTTTTATAATGTAGATCAACTTTACTGAATTTTTTCAAATTTTTTTTTACATTTCCTCTTAGGAACCTTGTAATAACACTAATAAACTATCCAAAAATTCTGATGATCATAATCAACAGTTAAATGAGACCTATCAATATTCTGAACAATTAAATGAAACTACTTCATTTAACGCTAACTTATCATCAGACAGTTCAGGATTTCAAGTTCTACCATCATCATGGAAACCAATACATCAACAGTTTCGTCGCCGTATTCGTAGAAATCGACCACGCCAAATGGTTTCTTCTGAATCTAAAGATACACCTGCCAGTCACTCTAACTCACCTCATTCTGGTACTCCTCCTGTTCCTCTATCGTGGAATGAAGCAACTGATGCACTTCGTTTGCCATTGGGTTTAATTCCTACTTTTATTCCGAATCCTGGTTCAACCAATGCCCCAGGGACTACAGCGTATGTGCTTTGTCGACCTCCTTCTAGTGATCATGAATGTTCAGCAAATGACGAAGGTAAGTCTTTTAAGTTGTTTCTTATTTAATCAATATCAATACTGTCGATAATCGTCATTATATTTATTGTAATTGATTGTGTTTTCAACTAATATCTTATGTAGTCATTACCGTTTATATTAGTTTCTCAAACAAAACATCATCTACGGTTGTCAATGATTTAAAATTATCTGTCGATTGCTAAAGAGTTGAAAAGTTATCGGGGATAAATGTTTCTTTCTTATTCCCTAAATTCTGTCAGATAATCAGAGTATCCAGCTTTTAACTTGTCTTGCAGAATAAATGGAAGTCAACTCATCCACTAGATGTCTGGTTAGAGCCACAGTTTAGGCGTGGGAGATTTCGGTACCACCCAGTTTCTCAAACCGAAGTAGATGGAGTAGGTTTTGAACTTGGGATTTAATAGCTGAAAGTTGAATCTTTTCACTACTGAGCCGCTGCGGACTATTAGTTATGGATGTAAATAAACAAATTATCGGGTTAAATTACAATTAAACATTTATCATTTGCAGTCACTGTAGTCCTTTTGATTTGTCTTTATTCACTTCTAGTCGACCACATTTGTAATTTTCTTGCATGTTGCAAATAGTCTATCTCATAAATTCACGACAGTGTATATGCTTACTCATTGGTAATCATCAGCGATGATCATGGTAGATCACTTCCCCTTCCTCCACCTATTTACATGACTCAGTCATTTCCACGATGTTTTCCTCTCGGAATACAAATTTTAAAGACTGTGAAGCAATAAAGTAACTACAGAACCGAACTTCAGAGGATGAAAACGAATCAGGTGTATCACCACAAATGGGAAATGTTTTTACTGAAGATAAGACTGATTTACAATTAATCTTACAAAATAATGTTTTAAACCTTGATTTTTCACATTTCTCTTTCTGTAATTTTGAAAATACTTTAATTATGCTTACTTTGATTCGACAGATTCTTATTCACGTTTATCGTTGTTTCTTGGAATTTATATGAATTCTGAATATCTAATACAAATACCATTACGTGATAAGAATGCTACTTTATTCAAATATATTCAAGTAAGTGAAATGCTGTTTCGGATTTAATAAAATGTAAATATTAATCGATCAGTCATCATCAACTGAGAGTTTGGGATTAACGTAGTTTGGGTTAAGCTCTCATATAGAGTGGAGGGTGTGTATGGATTTTTATCTTTTCTCCTGTTGTGTTTCTTTTTAGAACATCGTCCACGTATTGCGCAGTTATTGCTCGATATACCTATTTGATTCCATAAATGATGTAGGTTGACGTCTAGTCAGATGGTACTTTGTGTACTAGGGTGGCATGAAAACTAAAGTGAATGGGGATAGCCGAGTAAGAGAAAAACAAAAGTAAAGATGAACGTACAAAATACACTGACATTTAATGCGGAAACCAGTAGACAACAATCAGCAGTAAAAGGGCCTCAGATGGAGCCAGTCTTGAAAACTAGACTAGAAGCACATAGTTCAACCTGCTAAAAGGTTTCCTTTTGAATTTTTCTCATTTTTAAACCACATTAAATCAAAACAATCAAAAGCGAAATTGATCGATGCACTAAGCAAATATCATATTGAATAAAATTATGATCTCGCATTGGTTTTTCATGTTTAACACTTCTTATATGTGGTAACAGTTGTTCTCATTCCGTTTTTATATACACGATGAGTACATTTACTCGTCATTCTACGTATTTAAAATAAATGCTGAAAGGTGCAAGAGTCGATATCTTGTATTATAACGACACGAAAATATTATATGATATTTTATTCTATGTAACAGTTTGCTATGAGTTTCATCCGTTTCATCTTCACCGAATAAATCTTGTCTATATTTAGAATATTTGTACATAATGAGTACATCACATGCATATGCAACCTATTGTGCACTGTCTTACGTTGGATTGACTTTTTTTTACCAATGTTCTTTCAAATTTTATGATGTGTGGTAGAAGGTTTAAAAAATTCTGGATTGTCATTATTATTACTTACAAATAGCTTTTATGTCCTGATACAGAATAACTATTTATCCTCGAATTTTTTATAATAGTGTATCAAATCTTACTGTAATTTTACACATCATTAATAATGTGATTCACAGTTATTTAATCAATCATGCTTACCGTAAAAGCTGGAACATATGTTTGTCGGTTGAAGTTTTCACATCTCATAAGCACATCGAGATGTTTGGGCAGTAAAAGTAGTAATATTGTTAGTGGCAGTACAAAAGAAGAGACGTGATTTGTATGATTGGAGGAGAAACATGGATTCATGGAGTAACATTTTTGTATGATTAGGAAACTTATGATGTATAGGAACACAAAGCATGAATTCACCTGGGGTGTTGTAGGCGATTCTGAACCGTGTCACTTGTCGTCTCCAAACATTGTTTGCGATAATTGCGCTGACCTCACCTCGATAATCTGCACTTACCAGCACAATTCAGTTCAAAAGTTAGTGACCTGATGGACTGATGCCGTATTTTTGTTTGTAAAGCCCTATATTTTAGCGACCTTTCGAGGTTCATGGTAGTTCGATAAACATACTTCACTTCCCGAACACTTCAGTCGATTTTCATTTACTAGCTCACCAATCGATTTGTTATCTCTACCTAATATCCTGTCATTTGTCAGCAAGACTTACATGTGATCATGTGATCTGATGTTGCTTATGAGTTCTGAATCTGCGTCAGCCAATTTTACAGTCTAAGATGAAACCAGTTCACTGTTAGGGCCGCGGCCAACCTACTGTAAGACTGAGATACTGCCAACTGGCAACGTGATCGGTAGAATTCGACCAAATCCATAGATCAGATAAATATAACAATCATTACCTCCTAGTTGTCTGTCAATGTACATGTTCAGTATCATAGTTATTAGTGTCCGATATTCTTTTAAACTACAATTATCAGCATAGAAATCTCTAGATTTTCAATTGACTTAAAAGCAACAGCTGGTTAGTAACCCCTTACTTCTCTCATTGAGCTATATCTTTTAATGTCGAGGTTCATTGAATCAAAAAAGTTTATGTTAGGTTTAATATTATCAAGTTTAAATAGTCGAAGTGTAAAACATCGTGCACATTTCGATAATTATTTTTTTTCTTTTAAAGAAGTCCAACTAATTGTTGTTTTAATTTTTATTCTCACCATTAAATTTATTTAAAAAAATAAAACAATTTTAGGAATTGTCAGAGAAATTTGAACTACTCGAAAATTCTAATGAATATCGTTTGTCCAAATCAATTGATGGAAATGATAAAACAAAAAATAATTATTTAATTAAATTGGGCTATCGATTTTGGGATGCAAATGATGATTGTGTCAAATCATCTACATTAACAACTATTTCCACACCTTGTATTGCTGGTGATAATAATAATAATAATAATAATCATGATGTGAATGGAGTATGTTACTTTTTATTATAAAGAAAAATTCCTTTTCAATATTTGTAACTTCAGTTATGAATAGGTTAATCAGTAGTGTTCTGCAATGTGTGATATTGATAAGTCTTGCTAGCAGTACTTCTAAACTATCTTCACAATATACTTCTATACGTTTACTGGAACAGTAGAGAGAAGAAATGAATGGCTTCAATGTTATTCCGTGTACAGAAAAACGAGGTTAATTATAGGATTACATTCTATCTTAGGCTTCAAGAGATTTCTGGAACCGTAAAAACATAGCAGTATAGGCATATATATATATATATATATATATATATATATATATACTTCAGTGAATTATGTAGTTTTGCGAGGTTTTGTATATCTGCAACTGAAATTTAGATGGAGAACGGATGAAAGTTGATCGCAATATGCTGTTGCGTCATTCTACTATAAAAGCTGTTAGCACTGGATACCAGGGGTCTCTGTGGAAGTTTAAGTATATCAATGTAAAAATTAAATTTCCTTTAACAGAAAAGTCTAACTTTCTCATATGAATTTGCTTTTGTCTTTTTGTTTTTCCTTTACAGTCAACCATTCGAACAGTCTATGGGAAAGCATTATTAAATAAGCATGATTTAAGATTTACACCATCTTTGGATAGACCAATAATTTATACATCATCAGGTATTAAAATACCTATAATTAGTGATAATAACATTGATGACAGTAATAATAATGATGTTGATGACGTTTTTGTGAATAATTTAACTAACAAATCAGAATATTCAATAATGAATAATTACGATGTCCATAAATCTTATCCACCAAGTGATCCCGAAGATATTTTACAACTTATCAAATTATTATATCAGTTATCTGGTTTAGAAGAATTCAGTTTGGAGAATAATAATAATGACAATAATGATAATTCATTGGTTGATAAAAGCGAATCGATTGAAATGAAAATGGTGGATTTCACATCTACACGATTAACTAATAAGCTATTATGTCAAATACATGATCCTTTAGCGTTAGCTTCTGGTGCTTTACCTAATTGGTGTTTAAGTTTAAGTCAACGATTTAATATTCTCTTCTCATTCAATGTACGTTCCCAGTTGTTTTCAGCTTGTGCATTTGGTCCAGCCAGGTTAGTGCTAGCTTACACAGCGTTTTTTTTTCAATAAATCATTGCGTATGTTGTTTCCAACTGTATAGCATAGGCTAGATCTGATTTCTTTGTTTGCTTTTATACTACTGAATTACTGTAGTGAGTAGGTTAAGTTTTCTGGGCGCATTTGACATGTTGTATGTATATACGTATATACATATGTAAACAACGGTTTTCAATCAGTGAAACTTACTACTACGTAGTACAGTTTAATTATATCATCCTCTTAATTTTCATAATAAACTGTATAATATTCCTAGACTGACTTATTGTTGGTTTTATTCACCGTAATTTCAGAGCTGCTATTTGGCTTCAGAATCGTCCATTGCAAAAACGTACATATTTATCGCATTCGGATGGATATAGTCGTGCTGGGAGTGCAGGCAGTGCAAGTGGTCGTTCATCTTATAGAATTCTCCTACCATCCGTTAACGCTTCCTTGATTTCTGCCCTCTTAAACAATACCAATGCTAGTAATAATAATAATAATACTATTACAACCACGACTGCTACTAATAACATCACTAGTAATGCACTGGACGATGGAAATAGATCAATAAATTCTGATGAAGATATTGTATTACTACGTCCGTCAATATTGAATCATTTGCTTAATATAACTGGTGTTAGTGGAACAGCTAATAACAATACTAGTAGCCTACAAAATATCGACATTGGTAATGATTTGGACATTAATTCTGACAATATTTCATCAGTTGAATCCATTCTGACAACTTTAGGAATTCCTTTACTAACATCCACTACTACTTCTACTGCTGCATCACTAAACTGTGATACTAATTTTCTATCTGATAGTACTGGAGCCAGTAATAATAACAATGATTTAATCAATTGTTTATTAGTTCATGGTAATCAGAATAATCAACATTTGACTACATCGATGGGAGGTATAGCTACTACGCCAAATGGTGGTGGTGGTAGTAGTGGTTTTGGCATCGGACTCATTTCAGACGATAGGTCGACTTCACAGATTGGTCGGTTACATAAAGAATTTGTACGTATTCCACGTTTACCACATGAATTATTAACTCAGTTGACAAGTAAATATATGAAATCATCTCCCAATTACTATCACTATCATCAATCAGAGAATTTGACATTTTGGCATTGGGCGTCAAGACTTATGGAAGAGCATGCATCCCGCAAATCTGAACTGGAAATACAATTCATTGGTAAATCGTATTATTACTATTATTATTATTATTATTATTATTATTATTATTATTATTATTATTATTATTATTATTATTATTATTATTATCTATTATGTTTCTGTGCTTTTGTATATCTCTTCTGTCTTTGAGTATAAATTCTAATCCGCATGTATGACAAGGTAGAAAATCTATGTCTTTCAACAATTGCCTAACTATCTCATAACATGGTACTAGTTTTTTTGTATCAGCTTTGTAACTATTGTAGAATGGTTTTTATTGCACTCGTTAATCTTAATTCAAAATCTTTTTCTTCATATCTCTTATTATCCTCGATATTTTAACTGTGAAACGTTATTGTAGAGAAGCCAACTTAATCTATATTCATTAGATAATTTAATGAGTGACGAAATTACATCTACCACCTTATCTACTTATGCCTGTTACCCTTCGTGAAGGAGTATAGGCCACCTGCCATGGTTTTCCACCGAGCTCTGCCCTAGGAAGTCCGTTCCAGTTGTTGTTTATTCTTTTGATGTCTGCTTCTGATTCCCGACGCAGTATGTTTTTTGGTCTTCTTCCTTTCCGTTTCCCTTCAGGACCTCAAGTTAGTGCTTGCCTCATGATGCTGTTTGGTGATTTTCACTTCCAACATCTTTTCCTAATTTTCTCTTCAACTGGAAGCTGATTTGTTCTCTCCCACAGTAGGCTGTTGTTGATGGTATCCGGCTAGTGAATGTTGAGTATCTTGCGTAGAGAATTGTTAATAAATACTTGTACGTTTTTGATGATGTTTGTAATAGTTGTCCAAGTTTCAGCTGCGTACAGTAGAACTATCTTGAGTTTCGTATTGAAGATTGTGACTTTGATATTGGTTAACAGTTGTTTCGAATTCCGTATGTTCTTCAACTGTAGGAACGCTGTCGTTACTTTGCCAATCATTACCTTCATATTTGCATCGAATCGTTTTTGTTCATCGATTATGCTGCCCAGGTAGGTAAAGGTTTCCACGTGTTCTAAAGTTTCTCCATCAAGTGCTATATTTGAGGATATTGGTTTCCTCCCTGTGTATATTGAAGTCTACTGCTGCTACGTTAGCTGTCACATGTATTACATATGTGCCATTTATTGTCCAACATATTAAAGTTAATCTGTCGACTGACGCTTATCGAAAACTCAAATGTTTCTTTATCACATTATACCAATATTTATGTGTTTAAATAAAATAAAACAATCAAGAGGAAAGTAAAATTGAGTTCTATACGGAATCTTGAGAGTATTTTTTCCAGGGTTATAAATTGTTTTTTGTTATATCCGAACGAAAAATAAATGCATGGCAACTGCCAGGATTTCTTTATGGACTATTACATATATTCTCATAGGTTGGTCACTATGTAGCTAGATTATATATATATATATATATATATATATATATATATATATATATATATATATACCTTCTGTCAAAAGCTTTCATTTGACTTACTGGCCACTGTTTTGGTGTGAAGCTGTCTTGTTTGCTTGTATATATATACTAATTATTCGGTGAAGGTTGAGATTGCTCACTGAAATCAACGGGCAGGGTTAGGCAAGAAGAATCAATAAGGATTCAGAGTCGACGGAAAGCTGCTAGTGCTGTTTTCATATGTCATTGTTTTGGCGCAAGAACAAGGTCATACAAGTCGGTATTCGGATTAGCGATTTTGTCATCTGATAATTAACAGGGGGCAAAAAACAACATTTCTCATATTAATAACTGACAAATTTAATAATTATTTGCTCAGTTTGTCGACAGGAAAAAAACCTTGCTGAATTATCTTTAGAATGCTACAGTTTTTATGGAAGATATGTCGTGTGTAGTATTTAATTTAATGTTTAAGTAGCTTTCTGCTAGAAATAAAAGATAGTGGGGGTACTATTAACAACTGGATAATATTGGTACTCCTGTTTCATTCCACTTAAGGGTACTTACTGTCAGAATAATTGGCCTTCAAATATCTACAAACGATTTTTCACTCGATTTATTTGTAAATGTAATAATTTCATTTATATAAATCTGTTACATAACATGGGATGCAAACATGAATATTACCACTACTATAAAGTAGATTGACAGTTGGTTATTAAGTAATAACTCGATCGGTTAAGGGCTTCGGCTCGAGACTGGTAGGTCCTGGGTTCGAATCTCGCTCGCGAGAGCGGGTTCGTGGATGCGCACTGCTGAGGAGTCCCATAATAGGACGAAACGGCCGTCCAGTGCTTCCAGGTTTTCGATGGTGGTCTAGCTTCAATTGACTCATGATTTCAACAGTGAAAATACTAAATTCTCCACAAAACCCCCTCTGATCTATAATAACTCGATAGTCAGTTTATTGATCTATCTAAATGTTAAGCACTAGTAATACACCTGCTGGGTACACTTTTTTCATATTCCAATTGGAATCACATTTTATGTTACTAGTGGCTTGAACTGGTAGGTAGTGTGACATATTAAAGTTGTAAGTGGAATGTTTCAACCACTAAGACATTGCTTTGTTGGTCACATATTTAATAAAATATTATTTTATATTTAGTTGAGAAATTTTTAGATATAATTCCCACGCCATTATTATGTTATTGTCTTGAGATGATTTAAAGCTTTCTACAGATTGTTTTTAATCGTCAGTTAGGCTCAGTGGTCTAGAGGTTAAGCATTCGCGCGCGAGATAGAAGGTCCTTGATTCGAGTCCCACATGCGGAATAGTAGATGCGCACTGCTATTATTTATTTATTTATTTAAACATATATATATTGGTACAAAAGGGCACCAGGTACATATGCGCCACACAAAATAATGAAAGTAGGAAGAGAAGGGATGAAAAGATAAGGCGGGCTGAAATGTACAACCAGAAGACTCTTTCAGTTAAGAAAGTTAGAACCATTCTTTATGTAGAAAGTAAAAGAAGGTTGCAGCAGGAACGCCACTGGTTTCTATTCTGAGCCATATCTGATAACGACTTTAGCCACTGTGTTGCACCATCTCTCGAACCCCAACCAGAGAGTCGTGAAGGACCGACAAAAGCTAGCCCATTGCAGCTCTCTTTCATGCCACGACACCATGTCATACACTGACCTCCTCTCCGCTTTCTCCAACCAGTCCCAGGGTCGGCAAATAATGCACGACGTGGAAGTCTCTGGGACGACATTCGTAAAACATGTCCAAGCCACCGAAGTCGGTGTTTCAAGATGGTGACACCAATTGAATTATCGTCTCTGCGCCCGAACACACGATGCCGAACCTCTGCATTACTAACATGGTGTTGCCACTGTATGTCAGCAATCCTTCGGAGACAACGATGATCGAACACAGAGAGACGTCTAACATCCTCAACTCGTAGAGGCCAGAATTCACAAGCATAGAGCAAAACTGCTCTCACCGACGCGTTGTAGATCCGACCTTTTACAGCCAGACTAACATCACGAAGGCGCCAAAGATGGCCCAGATTGGCATAAGCCGCTCTGGCTTTCACTATACGTGCATCAATCTCATCACTCACGCCACCACCAGCACTTATGTAGCTACCTAGATACACGAACTTCTCAACTACTTCAATCTCCTCACCATCCAGGGTGAGTACAGGATGAGAATCCTGCCAGTCTTGTAGGAGTACTTTGCACTTGGAGGGTACAAAGCACATGCCGTACCTGCGGACACTGATTGTCAACTGATTAAGTGTGGATTGCATGGCTTGAGCATTATTGCACAGTAAGACAATATCATCCGCATACTCAAGGTCGAGAAGTCGTTCTCCAGGCAACATATCCACAGTGCCATTACTTACATCCATCAGAGCTGTTTCCAGGTTGTCGTCGATGGCAAAGTTGAAGAGGAATAGTGAGATCGGGCAACCCTGCCTAACCCCACTGCTTGAATGGAACAAGGGAGAAAGGTGGTTGTATGCCCTCACTCTGCCTGAGGTGTTCGTATACAGGGCCTTTAAGATGTTAATGAACTTCTCAGGCACACCCTTCTTCAATAGACAATCCCAGAGAACAGTCCTGTCCAACGAATCGAAGGCCGCTCTGATATCAAGAAACACTACGATTGTTGGCCTGCGATAAGTATGACGGTGTTCTAACATTTGGCGGAGGGTGAAGATGTGATCAATGCATCCTCGACCAGAACGAAAACCAGCCTGCTCCTCGCGAGTCAATCGTTCTCGGGTTTTAAACAACCTACGAAGAATGATAGAAGCCAATAGTTTGGACGCAATCGGAAATAGACTTATCCCCCGATAGTTGTTACAGGAACAACGTGAACCCTTTTTAAAGATAGGGACGACTATTGACTCATTCCAAGATGTTGGAACACTTTCTTGCTCCCAAACCTTTCCAAACAACACAGTCAATTCCTTAGTCGGAAGGTCACCACCATCTTTAAAAAGAGCCGGAGGTAAGTCATCTGGGCCAGGTGATTTGTAGCGCTTCAAGAGTTGGAGTTCCTTGCGGACTTCCGCCTCGTTTGGTGGATCAGTCGTCACCGGCCATGGGGGGCAAGACAAACTGGTTGATTTTGCCGGAGCAGCAGGCCAGTTGAACTGCCCTTCGAAAAATTCCGCCCATCGTCCAAGACGTCAAGAGATGTTAGTGATTGGCATCCCGTCATTCTCGTAGGTTGTTTCACTCACACCAGACTTCTTGCTGCCAGTGGCTCGGATGAGTTGGAAGAGCTTACGGCAGTTACCAGATGGAGCTGCTGCTTCCATCTCGTTAGCACACTCCGACCACCAGTCTTCCCGGTCCTTACGCAAGCTTTGCCCGATTTCATTACGTAACAGCCTTCGTTTGTGGTCAAACTCACGGTCACCCGGAGTAGACCGACGGGCTTCCATCAGTTGTAAGGAGCCAGAAGAAACCCAGTGTTTGTAAGCGGGACGTTTCGCGAAGCCGCAAGCGACTTTACTCGCCATTTTCATGGCGTCGTGAAGAAGCAACCAATGCTCATCTATACTTTTCGGTGGGGTGGTAGCTATTCTAGAGGCTAGCTTCGCTCGATACTTACTTGCAACAGGAGTTGCAGCCAGTTTACTAACATCAATCCGTTGGTGGTGGTCAATCCTTCGGCCACTGAAAAGTAAGGTGAGATTGGCGCAGACCAGGGCATGATCAGACTCCAGATAGGTACTCCAAAAGGAACGGCAGTCTTGTACACAACCACGCCAGCGGTAGCTGATCGCGATGTGATCAATCTGAGTCCAGGCTTGGGATGCAGCTTGAACGGCGTACGTGGTTTCAGAAAGACTGCTTCAGTATTCATAATCGGTGGAAGCATTCACTTTCAACCAGACAGTGACTGGAGATCGTTTAGATAGGACAGATTTTCCACCATGGGCGAGCTGCTGTATAAGTTGAAAAGTAAGGTTACACAAATTGGGGATAAAAGGGGGTGAGTTAACGATATGGTAAATAATAATAATAATAAAGGCAGTAATAATAATAATGTAAATTGTCTTGCTTCTAGTATGAGCACGAATAGTATCGTCAATAGAATTCATCATTTCATTTATTTGTGTGTGGGCTGTGATACTGCCCGGGTGCCCAAACCGAAGCAGGTGGTTTTCTTAGGGGGCCACACCCCGAGCCTTTGACCAAAAGGTCTGATCCACAAGGCAGTGGAGCATCGTTAGGAAATGCAGTCTCATGGTAGCCGTTGACCAATGACAGGTTCGTCCGCCGTTCGTTCCATCAGGATAGTGGAGCCCATGTGCACCATTGGTTTGGAATCAGGGTTTTCCAACTCCCCTAGGTGGACATTCGCTTTCCGTCCTCTCACTTTCGTAAACACCCCCGCCACGAGAAGGCAGTGAGTAGGACTTCCGTGAAGGAGGCTATATATTCGCTGGCCATGTGAGAGCATTTCTAGAGGGAGAGTAGACTCTCCACACTCTCGGCCGTACCAGGGCATTTGGGGGCGCACTGTTAAGGAGTCCCATACTAGGACGAAACGACCATACAGTGCTTACAGGTTTTCAATAATAGTCTATCTTAGATTAACTAGTGAATTCAGCTTTTGAAATTAAAAACCTATCGAATTTGTTGAAATTTCAGGTTGAATAAACTTTCTCTACCGCTGTTTTTGTTTGGCAATTAACCACGTGGTAATGATTTGAATTTTGTTATCTTAGTGCTATGCTTTACTTCGTTTCTGTTGGTGTATTTGCAAATTTATAAAATATCCTTGTGATGTAATATTTTAACGTAATTCACCTGGAAGTTTAGTTAGTGCTTCATGTTTTGCTTAGATTGGCGTATATTTATAGTTAATGAAATTAGTTATTATTCAGTTGCCGTTCTCTTTTTTTATGTTTCCCATTTTTTTTTAAATAGGTGAGGAAGGCACAGGTCTAGGTCCGACGTTAGAATTTTATTCACTTTTGGCCGCTGAACTTCGTCGACGTGATGGTTTAATGTGGGTTACAAATGATTTTACAATGACTACTGAGCAGTCAAGTCATAGTCATTCAGTTCTACCCACTGTTTCTAGCTCAGCAACCATAGAGCAACATGTTATTTCGAATTCTGGGCAACCTGACTCTATGGATAACGAAATAGATGACATTGATGAAGCAAATGTATATGTGAACACACCTTATGGATTGTTTCCTGCTCCATGGCCGGGAGATCAAGTTCCAGAATCAGTTCTTTATCGCTTCTTCATTTTAGGAATAACGGTAGCAAAATGCCTTCAGGTGAATGATCTTATTGTTTGAACTTTTTATTATCTTGGTGTCGAGTGAATTTTTTTCTTATTGATTTTAATATTTTAGTAAGATTTTTAAACATTTAATAGATTTATGCGGTAAACGATCAACAAAATAGTCGGTCAACATTAGATTTTTGTATGAATATTCGTCGAATATATAATTACGTCCCTTTTTTGGTAATACGATGTTCTTCTATGTTCTCTTTAATTTATTTCTGTTAATCACCATGTTTGTCGTTAACATAACTTCCAATATTATAGTATAGGAATGCAAATATATATTCTTATAGATAATGCTGACTAGTATTGGAGATGGTTGGAAGAGAGTTAAGGGCGGCCGAAACAAAACGTGGCATCAGTGCTTGAAGTCACTAACCTCTAGTCTGAGCCATGTTGGCACATGCAGACTACTTAGTTGGAGTCCGCGTGGCTATCTTAACCAATGATTTGAGAATCTAGGTGACATGGCTAAGAATCGATCACAATGGCGAAGGTGTATACACTCTTTATCTCCCCTTAAACCTCGAGATTAAAATCGCTTCATAACTTTCTTCCTTCCTATACTATATCCTTCTATACAACCTTTCTTTTATGTACTACCACCACTAAATTAACTACTCATATGAATCCGGTGTTGACCTTGTTGTGCTAACGAGGTATGACAACTTGGACGGATGCATATATGTGCCTGATCCTACGTTGTAGCTGACTGACTGACTGTTTGCACAATAATACATCTCAAACAGTCAGATAATACATTTACTTGTGAATGCATTTATATGTAAAAACTAATAATGATTAATTAAGTATGTTTTCAAATAATTATAAAGGGATAACTGGAAGCATAAGTAAGAGAAATGAATGACAATATATGAGATGAATAAGAAGTTATCGCTTCATGTTCGGTCTTAAAATGAATGAAAGATTTCCAGGGCTGATTCAAAATGGTAGAATAAATTGTTTTTTGTGGATACAAAGAAGGCTTTCATTGTTCAATAATGTGGACTTCAACAAGTATAAAAGTGCGTTTACTAATCACAGCATTTAAATTACTGTTTTAAAATTCTGAAAAGAAAACTTCCTTGATTTTGCTCTAAACTAATCTGTCAACTTGAATTGTAAAGTTAAAGCTCAACTTTAACACCCACATACATTTTCTAAACAGTTTTATCAATCTTAGGGGTGAAATAAACCGGAAGGAACTGTATCTAACCTTCTTCGATCTACGAAATCGTGAATGGAAAAATGTGGTAGATTGGTAAACAGACTAACTAAACTTCATATCCGCTTATTATTTGTGTTATCAAACTTTTCTGGAATGTTTCACATTAAATTTTTAAATGTGTAAAGCTTCTTAACCATTGTTCGGCTTTCTTTTTCTGAGTAAATAGATTAATTAAGGGTTAAAAAGCGTTCATTTTCCACTGAATCGAACGAAATGACATAACACAATGCTTCTTTACTTAATAATAGTTTATGCTTAGTTTCATATTTCTATTCATAAATTGAGTAAATATTTCAGATATTGCACTCAGCATTAGATTTTAACTATAAGCAATTAACCTCAAACATGGTAAATTACACCAATAAACTCATCAGTCTCTTTGTTTGCTGGTTGGTCGTATAATTTCACTTTTTCTTTGAAACAAACTGTTCTGTCTATTTCAGTTCACTTTCTAGACATTTTAGTAATGATAGTTCTCTGGTCTATTTATTTATTTTCATGATATTTAGAATCTTATTAAAATTTTATTTTCCTTATTTATACACTTATCAGGATAATCGCCGTATTGATTTGCCTTTATCATCACCATTATTGAAACTTCTTTCTACCTACGGTAGTGTTGTCAACACTCACAATTGTAATGATCATGAATTGGAAAAATGTTATTCTGCAACTAGTTCATTGGACAATTCTAAAACAATCAATAATGTAGATTTCTCTGTTCTTTCTGATGTTGAAAGTGCTTTTCAAAATGTTTTATATGGTTATTCTTATTTGAAAAATCAATTAACTTCTATTACTACTGGTAATACTACTGATCGGTTCATTAAAAATCAATTCAATCCAAATGACGATGAAGAGTTTAATTTGGCCTCATTTCTTATCAGTCCACAATATAAACGACTGTATCAATGCTGTGGATCTATTAGTCAGAATAATAATAATAATAACTTACAATCCTCAACACATTGGATTTCAGGTCTGTTAAATTTAAATGATTTTTGTATTATTTATCCGGAACGTGCACAGTTTTTAAAACAAATAACAGAATTTCATCGTCGTAAATCTACGTTGTCAAATGGAAATACAAATGAAAAGTGTATTAATGGTTTAGCTGTTGAAATATTCGGTTGTGGTCTTACTGATCTTTGTTTATCTATGGAATTTCTTCCATCTTCTAAGGTAAATTTCTGAAAGTAATGTTTTCATTTTTCTCCTTATTTTGTTTCCTTTCATCTGTAATATTGCATTAATCTTATCGAGATTAAGTTATCTTGGCATCTATTATTAAACAAATTGAAAAGTGATTGATCACAGAAACAAAATTAATAACAAGGTACTAGTTAAAATGCTAGTTGAAATGTGTTATATCCAGGAATCGACACTGTTATAACTGGGAAATTTGAGTCTGTTGACACTGTTGGGACTGGGTAACAAGTTGTTATATCTTTAGAGTCGTCGCTGTTATTTATGTATCGAGTTTCTTTGGTTTTCCGTCTTACTGTTTTTACTTGACAATCGGGGACCACTGTAATTCCTCGATCCTTCTGCTAAAGGGGACCACCACAATTCCCACAACTCAAAGTAGGAACACTAAAGGCTGGTGCAACGAAGCTTTGTTGACTGCCCTAAAACACTTCTCAAAACAAGTTTCAAAACTACATGCTTGACCACATTACTGATTTTACACTTGGAGAGATACGTACAGTTATTGTAAAAAGCAATAAATATTGGTCGCCTGAATTAATACAGGGAATAAAACTGCCACGCTAAACGGGAGTGCACACTTGTCACATGGATTGAAATTTATACTAAATTGATACAAGAGAATATTGATTTTGAACTCCCACTCTAAACAAAGTTTACACCAGTCGCCCAGGCCAAAATTCATAATGAGTTGTTACAAAAGGCTTCTGCTTGAATAATGTTGCTTCATCTCATCATATTACATTGAATAAATATCAGAATCATTACTTCATCAATCAGTAATGCAGTCGAATAGAGTCGGCGTTTTTCAGCATATGCATAGAAAATCAATGAAGTTATGCTGGATCGACGAAGATTATATTTTCAACAATCTCAGCCTTATATTTGTGCATTCAATGCCTCCTAGCTTTAACTGTTCAGCTGAACAACATCATCAACACCTACGTTTTAAATAAAAGTGAGTTTTTCGGTTATTCTACGTGTGCTAAGTCTATCCACCTTGACGACTTTGTTGTTAGTTTCGTCTGTTGGTTTTATTATCTTCGTAAATCTTTCTATATTACCTATTGATTATCATGTGTGCGTTTGCTCCAGTTGCCACCACTGTATAAACACAACGAGATGAAATTACCAATATGAATTACAACGTAATAATGTGATTTAATGATATATATATATATATATATATATATATATATATATATATATATATATATATATATATATATCGTATTGTATTTGAACCTTTACCAAACATAGGTCCAGGGTTTTGTTATCGCCTATCTGTAACTTTCTAGCGTGTAAGCACAATAAATGTCTGTTTTAAGAATACATCACTTCATTTTTTTCTTAATTTCATTCACATTTTGTTTGTTTAGCTTTTTGGATTTCCATCTTATCCATTGAAAGATGTTTATGGTTGGGAAGCAACAATAACAACAACACCAAGAACTACTAATAATTCTACAGAAGTATCATTGCATAAAAATGTGACAGAGAATTCACAATCTATTGTTGCGCCTGTTACAGTTCATAATATTGAAAAATATTTAGAATTAACGTTAGCTTTTTGTTTGGATAAAGGTATTCGTAAACAATTGGATGCATTCAAAGGTATAATTTTGCATTACATTTCAATAATTTTTTACTACTGTTATTATCAACTATTTATTGGGTACTGATTAGTATTAGCAACTTTGAGCCATGCATTAGTTTTGAGGTTTAGTGATACAATAAATTTACCCTAACTGAAGTGCAAGACATTGGATTCTAACTGACGGTTCAGTGGTTAGAATTAGGACGCTTTAATCACTAAGTCACTTCTTCTATAACGCTTGTATGGTGTCTATACTTTGATTTCTATGATAGCTTAAAAAAATAAAGTGTTTAGCATTAATAACCATTCCATTAGGTTATATTGATAAAATACACATAAAACATTGTTTATTATTAGGAAGAGAATAGTTTGTGAAGATATACTGAAACTCAAGAAGCACGAAATATCTCTTCCATCCTAATTAAGAAAACCATCATTATGAAATTTGTATACAGTCGATTTGAATCATAATGATTGGATAAATAAAACAAAGTTCTGAAGAGTGTAATGGAATCCAATTAATGATGGATCACTTAAGTTGCACAAAAATACCCGATTATCCTGTAAAATTGGGAAGTCTACAAGTTAAATCAGAAACAGCAATACACGCTATTTTGAATAATCACCAAAGTGATATTAGCAATATCAAAATAATTCAGAAACGCTTTTCCAACCACAAAGAGAGGCGAGTAGCATAGATACAACCTCAGCCCACTACTCCATATTACAAATGCATACATTTTTCATATCCCATCTGGCACACAAATTAATATAGTGATAGGTCATACAAATTCACCCTGATCAAGAATAATTGGATGTTGACATTGACATATTGAGACCTATTGTAATTTTGATTGTACTAAAAGTATTCCGCATTGTTTCATTTGTACTACTTAAACTTGCGTTAATTTAATTCGGTTATTTATTTACTCTGAAGAAGCGGCTTACATTAAGACATGAAACGTCAAAAATACGAATTTCCCACTTATTGGGATCTAACACCTATTACAGTCTATTTCATTTAAAATGATATATTATTTTCTTTTCCTGATTATTTTTTCTTTGTAGACGGTTTCGAGCGTGTATTACCACTTGGTTGGTTAGCATTATTTACAGCTACAGAATTAGGTGAATTAATTGCTGGTGATTCAGTAGTTCATTGGACACGTGAAGATCTTCTTGCATATACAGTACCAAGTTTAGGTTTTACTAAACAATCACCAACATATCAAATGTTAATTAATGTATTATGTAATTTTAATTCAACTGAACGTCGTGCTTTCTTACAATTTACTACGGGTTGTTCTAGTCTACCACCAGGTGGTTTAAAAAATCTACATCCACGTTTACGTATTGTACGTAAAGAAATAACAAATAGTGGACCATATCCTAGTGTGAATACATGTGTACATTATTTAAAATTACCAGAATATCAGTCAGAGAAAGAATTACGTACACGTTTATTACAAGCAACTAAAGAAATTGGTTTTTATTTAAATTAAATATCTTTATTTATTCTTTTTTTTAACTTTTTTTTCTTTCTTTATTTTTTTGAAGAAAACTAAATAAACCAACAAATTTATATTTAATCATTCAACATTGTCTTGTTTTCATGTTTATATTCCACTTGTTACCTTTACATAAAAGTAAAGAATTACCAATAATGAACAGTTGATGGTGACGGTGACAACAACCAGTATAGTTTTCCTTTGATAACTTTTATTTTTCTTTCTTCCACAAGATATATTTAGATAAATAACCAAAGAAGTTGATTTTCGAAAGCAATGTATCACACTATAATCATAGTAATAATTATGATATGAATATATATAGAATAGTTTGTCAAGGAGAAAAAATTTGTAATCTGAAAAAACCGAAATGAATAAATATGATGATGAAGTAGATCATTAGCATGATGCATGATTTCGATTTCCTTTCACACTACTATTATTACTACTACTACTACTACTTCACTTCCCACTTACTGACTTTAATTTTACTCATTCATCCCCCCGTATCACCAAATAATAACTTTGATTTTATTTTGTTAGTATGTTACTATTTATGTTTATGCAGTGGTTTTTTATTTATTTATTTGTTTATTGGTAATATTTTATTTTGTAATGTAGACACTCCTTGAAGAATTGTGTATTATTTGAGACATTCACATATATTACTGTTATGAAATAAATGTGTTTATTTAATAAACAGTATATAAACAACCACGAGGTGATAGCCTTTTCACATTCTTTCTTGGGGGGGGGGTTGTTCGTTAGTAAATAACATCTTTTTATAGATGATTTGACTTGATGTTATTAGTTTATTTTGTGGTAATTGGAAGTGACAATCGTACCATCATATTAATACGATTGGTCTAATAATTCCTTTGCTGATTGTTATGATTTTACTAGTGTAGGTGTTTTGTAGAGATTTTTGTTTGGTACTGCGATCACGCACGAACATACCTAAGCTATATAGCTATTCGTTCCACAACAGTGACTGTAATTATTATCTATCTCATAACTTGGATAATTTAAGTCAGATATTTTACTGAATTAATGTTAAGGATCATGTATAGGGATTTCAGACTCTAATGAAACGCTACTTCACTTGTCTCTGTCCTTTGATTGGTCCTACAGCAGTTATCAGTTCATGATAAAAATTATTTTCATTCGAACGTTAAATAATCATTGATTTTTCTTTCGCAATTTCGTAATATCAGCGAATGATGTAGTTGAAAATAACACCCGACCGTTGCTGCTATTTTAACGTGGTGGTCAGGCAAGTCCACCTAGTGGAGCTGGAAAACCCTGATTCCAAACCAATGGTGTACATGGGCTCCAATATCGTGAAGGAACAATTGGCGTATGAATCAATCGTTGGTCACCGGCTACCATGTGACTGCATCTCCTCACGACGCTCCACTGCCTTATGGATCAGACCTTTAGATCAAAGTCTCCGGGTGTGGCCCCTTAAGAAAATCACCTGCTTCAGTTTGGGCACCTGGTCAGTATCACAGCCCTCACACAAATCAAATGAGATTTGTGTGGCGCCTATATATCTGATGCTTCCTTGTGCCAATATTTATGTGTTTAAATAAATAAAGAAAATAATTTCTGTATTTTAAAATGTTTAAATACATCAACAGTATAAAAAAATGAATAAGTAGCGCTAATCCTTAAAATTATTTTGCGAATATCTATACCATAATAATAGTAAATTGTGAATGAATGTTTAAGGCCACATATTAAGATTATTTTCTTATATTTATATAATTTATAAGAATTCCTTTGTTTTAATCGTTCAACATACATTATGTAGATGAATATTCTTTTAATTCTTTTATTTTTTATATTCTATTCTGGTTATTACTGTTATATAACTTGATTCATGAATAGAGAATTAATCTTTTTTTTCTAATTTTTTGTCTTACTACTTACTACTACATTACATGTGTATTGAAAATATTAAAAAAAATTTTTTTTATTGTTTCTAATTTTATTCAACAATTCAGTAGTATATGTGCCAAATTATTGTGAGTCTTAAAAGAAAATAATAAAAACCAAGCAAATATGTTATTTAATCATATAAATAATAAGATAACCTCAAAGAGATAGAAATCTTTAAGTTATTCGAAATTAAGCATATGATTATGATCTATTAATTAATCATATCTATTCTATATCTATTAAAATGTAATGGTATGTAAAGTATTTTTCATAAATAGAAAATAAAAATAATAAAGCAAATGAATCGATGCAATGTATAAATGAATCATTTGTAGATTTTATATAGTTTAAGACCTTAAGAGTAGAGGATACTGGTAAGTTACTATTATTTGATCACAAATGTCTTAGAAATGTTGATCGCATCTTCTGGGATTACTGGGTAAGTAATAGTGAGGTTAGACACATGGTAATCAGTTGATGAGGTCAGGATTCTTCATCGACTGAGATGATTGGGCCACGTGTTACGTATGCCTGAACACCGATTACCACGACGATCAATGCTGACTAGTGTAGGGGATGGTTGGAAGAAAGTTAGAGATGGCCAAACGAAAACGTGGTATCAGTGCTTGAAGTCACTAACCTCTAGTCTGAGCCATGTTGGTAGATACAGATTACTTAGTTGGATTCCGCGTGACTATCGTAACCAATGGTTGGAGACTCTGGGTGACATAGCTAAGAATCGATCACAATGGCGTAGGTGTATACACTCTTTATCTCCCCTTGAACCTTGAGATTAAAATTGCTTCATAACTTTTTTCCTTCCTATACTATATTCTTATATACAATCTTTCTTTTATATATTGACACCACTAGATTAACTACTTCTTTGAATGTGTTGTTGATCTTGTTGTGCTAATGAGGTATGGCAACTTTGACGGATACATATATGTGCTTGGTTCCTACGTTGTAACTGACTGACTGACCTTAAGATATTGGATAATGGGATTGCTCAGTCGTTTAGTTTGAAATTAAGTATAATTTATTAGGTATGTTATGTTGGTTGATAAGAATATGAATCTTCGTCAACTAGTACTACTGAGGTATATATTTCACCTGCCGTAATCTATCCGAATCTATTATAATAATGTACGAAGAAGTGTATTGGAAGATGGTTAGAGAGCGACATCAGTGAGTGAAGTTGTTTGTTTTCGGTTTGATTAGCGTTAGAATGTTTATTAACCTTGCTTAGCTCTCAGTTAAAGTACACCATCGGTTTGGAATCAGGGTTTCCCAACTCCTGTAGGTGGGTCCTTCGTACCCATTAACCCGGTTTCAGCCCTGGACATTCGTATTTTGTCTTCTTTTTATTTCGTAAACAACACCCTAGCTACAAGAAGGTGGTGAGTAGGATTTCCCCGACAGTGACTGTATACGCGTGGCCATGTTAGACCATTTCGAGAGGGAGAGTTGGCTATCTTCGCCCCCGACCGTGACGGAGCATTTGCGGGCGAGATTTCATAAGTTAATCATGTATGGAACCCAGTATTTTCAGAGATATCAGCAAGTACCTAATCTTTGGATGAATAGGTTGGATTTCAACGTTTAATATTTCTAAATTTGGTTAGGTGTTGTCACCATATACCACCACCCGTCGCCATCGGTGGTACCTATCTTTCGCCTATATTAGGTCGAAACAGTTGTCCATCACAGTAAGTTTTTTATCTGTTATTGGGCTAGATTTAGTCTATCATGTAATTTGTATTGAACAATCTCCATATAGATCATTTGATAATAACCGTCTGCTTACAGCGAATAAATGCAAAAAACGGATGTTTTTGTTCATTTCATAATAAAACCTTCTTCATAATCTGGTTTTATGAATTTCTCTATTCAAGTTGATCAGGAATTCGAATGACGAATAATTACTGAGCCCGAATTCAGACTGTTTTGGGTACTATCGCATCTGCAATGCCAATTTATGTTTTGTATCGATATTAGACTGTTTTCCGACAGAATAGAACCGAGATATATAATACTTTGTGTTGTTTTAATCCAGTATTATCATTGTCAACTCCTTAAAGATATACGTATATATCTTAGACTGCTTTCTCAAAGATATAGTTCTATTGTTTTTTATGCAACAACTGATTGAATTGAATTTCAATTATTTACCTACAGCTTTCGTTTTCGCTTCTTGAAATTTATGAAAAAAGAATGATGGTGTGAAAGTCCCAAAGCTGAGTTCATTGAAAGTTAAAGTAACTATTTCATGAACCAATTATCAATTCACTTACTCATTCCAATAATTTTCTCAATTAATCGGGGTTTTATTTAAAATGTTAGCAAGTCAAACGTTACTCATTAGACAGGAGATGGAGGAATTTAGTGTAATTAAATAGCACCCATTTATCAAAATAAGCGATGACCTCATTGAGGAAATTAGGAAAAAACGTTGAAGAAACCACCGAATTGCATCATGAATCAATCCCTAACTTGAAATCCGAAAGGGAAACGGAAAAGAGGAAGGCCAACAAACACAATAAGCCGGGAAATAGAAGCGGATATGAAAAGGATGGATAACAACTGGAAAGAACTGGAAATGATTGCTCAGGGTTGGATGGAGAATGCTGGCGGGCAGTCTATGCTCCTCCACTAGGAGTGATAGGTGTGTTATATCTGTGGCCGAGTGGATGAGAAGTTGATGTGTGACGCGATAGAACCGCCAATTAGAGAGCAGCGAATTATCGGTTGGAACAGTGACACGAAACCGGTACGATCAGACTAGAGTGCTAACCGCTCCTGCGATCTGCTTAGCCCAGCTAGTTAAGCCCAAAACACCAATAACAGCCTCAGTGGTATGAATCATTATTTACAAACATACTGGGTTTTTATACAAACCAAAGTAATTAATAACTGAGTATAACTCAAGAATCGTTTGATAATAAATCAAAGATCAAAATAAAGCTAATGATGAGAGAAACACGAATATGAATAGTTTAGTTACGTAACAATTGTACAATAGGAAATAGGCATAATACATTGGTCGATAAATAGACCTAAAAGTTAACATTCGTAATTCACCGGGGGATATAACAAGGTGTAGGTAAGTGATTGAGACTGTAATATCTGATAGAATAAGTTGAATTTTTTTGGGGGAAGGGGAACACTATTTTCATTGAAATATTTGCTATTATTTACAAAATTAAACTTACTACTTACTTACGCCTGTTACCCCCAATAAAGCATAAGCCGCCGACCAGTATTCTCCAACCCATACTAAATTAAAACTTAAATTAATTCAACATTGTATTTGATAATTATTTCTAAATCTTTTTTTCCTCGAAAATGTAAAATGTTACTCTTTAATTTTATTCTTAATCTAGTACTATTATTGAAACAAATGATTGAATCATTTTATCCTTATAATCTATTTTCAGTTGAAACATATAGAATGAATAAAGCTATACTGATGATATTACAATCGAATTACATATCAAAGATTTTACTTTTTACAACAACAAACAATGAAAGTTTGATGCTTTCATTAAGATGACATCTTCATCAGTATAAGGATTATTATTATTATTATTAGTAGTAATAATAATAATGATTGTATTTTCATTATACTGTTGATTCATTTTGAGAATATCATAATTGAGGTTACTGTAACTCTAATCTTTTTTCTAGTTCATTTATTAAATTTATATATTACATGTTATATAATAAAATAAGTACCTTTATTTGTTTCTATGGTGAATGTATATGTGTGTATAGTTATTACATAGAAAAAAAAAATGTAATGAAATCATGATAATTTAATTTGATTGGTTGATTAGTCTCTATGGCCTCATCTTCTTTTTCTTTTCATTTTCTTATCACTTTTTTTTTCAGTGAAATATATTTTACAACATGATTTAATGAATAGTTGATAAGTAGATATGCTTTCTTTTTTGTATAATTGAGATCACTTTTAGCTAACTGTATGAATGTGTATATCATATATATGTATACCACATATGTATAGATATAATTACTGAGATTTAGATATGTATGTTTGTGTTTATGTACTATTTGTTGATTGGTTTTATAAAGTATATTTTATTTATTCTTATAGAGTACACTTTCATTTACGTTTTACTATTAAAAGCATTGAAATTCATAATAATATAAATTATTAAAGTACCAGTGTACTCATTATTATTATTATCATTCAATAAAGGTAATCTGAACACTTATCTAATAGACTTAAATTTTCTCATTGCTTACAATAACACATTAATATTAAATATTTTAAATGTTGTTTTATATTTGAGATGATGGAGAAGATTTGTAGCTCAGGTGGATGATTTTGATGTAGGTTTGTTCTCTGAGCAGGATGGTTTGGTCGTGGAGCTTTCATCGTCCTTCTGAATGACATCATCATCACAAACTTCGGGTAGAAGAAGCACCACGATCAAACCATCCGGCTCACAGAACAAACGTACATCAAAATTGTTTAACATTTTTAACTATTTACTTAATAAAAATAAACATTTTTCTTTGCTCCATTTTTATATTCAAGTAATTTGGAAAAACAAATTAGGCAAAAATGGAACCATTTGTACAAGTATTCTTTGCTATTGATAAAGATGGAACTGAAACTATCACAGTAGAAGAATTGAAAAAGTATGTTGCTGAAAATAAACTTGATGACATGATGGTTACAGTAAGTTTATTAATTAATTTATTACACATTTATACCAAATATATTGTTTATGTAAGATTTTTGAAACAATTTGAAAGTTTTGTAAATAAAGATGGATAGTAGCTAGCAGTGGAATCCATAATGCGCGTTTCGTTCTATTTGGGATTCGTCAGCTGAATGTACCTACATCTCAGAGAGTTGATGTTCACTCTCAGACTCGAACCCAGTACCTTTTGCTTCAAAGTTGAAAGTTTTTTTATTTGATTATTGTTTAAGGCTAAAAAGAAACAATTATATTGATACTGAGCATTCTGGGACACTTACGTAATTCATTCTATCTATAAACAACCACAACAACAAAATTTAATGTAGACTGATCTAATTTGATATAAGAAAGTATCGAAATTGTATATGAACCTTCGATAAAACTATATATATATATATATATATATATATATATATATATATATATATATATATACATTAGTGACTATTGTTAACTAGAGTGAAATGAATGTCGTGATTATTATCCTGATAACTTGAAAATCCCTTACCGAGCTGTACTATAGTTTCTAGTACGTTGTTGAATCAATCTTCAAAAAGTTACGGAAATACGACTGAGTATTTTGTCATAGTTTTGTGTTAATACGTATTTTATTGCACAATCATTATTTGTAATATGAAACTTTTAGTTACTATCGTGAATTGGTATTCCAATCATGATTAAACAATCTAGTTGTATTCAATTTTTTAAAAAAAAACCTCTTCAGTCTTTTTCTATTACGACTGAGAGTAACGGTATAAAAAAACGAAAACTTAAAACCGTCAGACTTTGTTATACACTGTGAAAAGAAAAAAATAAATGACCATTTAAAGAGAGGAAAAATGAAACTAAAGATAATTGATTTGATTTGGTTAACGTATTAGTTAACTCTGGACTATTATTGAACATAGAAAAAGGTTAATCTGTTCAAATTCTTAGTATTATTTGCATTTTTTAAAGGGCGATTAGGGTTTGGGGTTGAATTCATACTTGTTTGCTTTTTAATTTGTACTTGTCATATGTAAAATCATGACAATGAAAACCAAACTCAACTCTTAGTGCTATTTTTTCCAAATAAAAGATGTTCCCAAAGATATTTCTCAGAAATAAAGTCGCTGATTTTAGTTCGATAAAGTAGATATCAGATTGAAAAAGGGCAAAACAAATATTTTGTTATCAGAAGGTGTTTTTGTGCTTACAGGTTTTTCCTGGTGGTCTAGCTTCAATGGGCTCACGCTTTCAACTATGAAAATATTTTGTGCTATATATATATATACGTAGTGAAAGTAACACTGAATAAAGTTTGGGTATATTATTTGAAAAAAAACTTAATTCATTAGCTACTGTAACTGATCATTAGTTACGGAGCAAAAGACTCAAGGGAAATGCATAATATCAGGCATGATATTATTACATAATATAGTAATACGTTCGAAATACAAAGGCATACAAAGGCATACATTCTGTGAGAAAATAATGATCTCTAATTACTATTAAGATACAATGAAAGGATAGTCTAATAATATGGCATAACTAGAAAATGATTGGCACTTATTTTTTACTAAAGATGATTATTTAATTTAGTACAGTATAAAGTGATTGAATTAGTGAATTAGATTTATTTCAAATGATGAAACACTGCGACTTTCATCTCGTTTCATCGTTAGCACAATTATCACACGACGAATTTGATGGATACCATTAGTTTATACTTTTGGATATATTTCGTATTGAGACGAAACTACTGATGTATTGCTTGATACTTCTGTTTTTAATGAATCTCCAATTGCAATCAGTTTTGCAATGGAAATTACTTTCAAATTGTATTAAAAGACTTGATGAAGTCACTTTCATAAAATAGAAGATAAACTACTATCCAAAAATATAATGATATGATAAACATTCATTGTATTTAGTTGACAGTTTGTATATGTATATTATAAGGCGTCAGTTTCTCAAATCTAAACTAATCTAAACTCATATACACCTTTTTTTAATAAATTACCTATTTCCTTTTATTTGATGATATCCTATGTTTTAGAAATGGAAATCATTATTTGATCCCAAAGGTACTGGAAAAATAACATTTAAAACTTTTTGTGATGTATTGGGTTTGAGTCCTGCACAAGCGTAAGTTATATTCATTAGTCTGTAAATGCAATCAATTTACTTTACTTGTTTAGTATTCATTAACAGTGCAACTGAATGCTAATTGTTTTAGACATTTAGGAAATTATATGTTTTTTCTATATTAAATCATTAGCAAGATGTATCTTCAATATAGTAGGGCTCACAACTCGGGTAATAACTACATTTATTGATCAATGACTAGTAACTAAATTCATATCTAAATTATAACATGACTGAGATTCATCAGTATTGTTTGAGAATATCTGAGATAACAACTTAGTGTATGAGAAGATAAGTCATGTAAATTATTAGGTTCATCACGACTTCATCGATAGGTTGAGCAACATGATAGGATAAAATGTTGTAATTGAAATTCAATGTAATCAGTAGTTTAGTTAATTACAACATTAAATTTGAAATAGTTTCTCTTTTAAATGATATCATTCATAAGATGTAATATGTAGTTACATGACAGTATAGTTTTAAGAAGTAGTCGGATAACGATTTATTAAGTATATACCTTAAGCGTTTTAATATGTGCGAATTGTTAAAATAATTTAAAATCAGATGTAAAAATTAACAATAAACGAATTGATGCTGTTAATGTTCAACTATATTCTTTCTTATTGAATAAAATGACTAGAAACCTAGTTGTTCTTCGTCTATAACCTTACAAATGTGCTTTGTTGTGAGTTTATAGAAGCGTTTTAATCAAATATGAACAACAACAGACCGACGAATAGCTTTTTTATTTTTGTACTGCCACCACTGAACAGGGAATTTAACATTCAACGACGATGCCACCCATCCAATATAATAGGAATTAACAGTGTATATTTTAATATCAATTCAGTATATAATATCTCATTATTCTTATTCTGAATTGTCATTCAAGGGCTATCAATTTAGTAAACCTTGGTTTAGGAAATAGATTTTTTGAAATAATCCCGTGACATCATGTTTTTATAAATGATGAATCTTTTTTATTGTTCTCTCTCTCCTTTTTGGTCTACAGAGTAGCCATGAAAACACAACATCAGCAAGCATCTGCATTAAAACTTCATCCAGATGTTGTTGTAATCTATGAACAACTTCCATTAGATAGACAAGTTGCTATTAGTAATAAAGCAATTGAACTATTAGCATCTTCAAAGAAATTGGATGAGAAAGATCAAGCTGTTCAATTGAAACAATGGTTAGATACCACTTATGGTAAAGCATGGCACATTGTCATAGTTAAAGGATCATTTTGGAGTAGTTATTCACATAGTGCTAATAAATGTTTTATATTTCGTGTACGTGATGTATCTTATCTTATATGGAGAACACCAGATGAAGAAATAACCAGTGCATAGATAAATAATTAGATAACTTGAAGAGAAACAAACAATTTAAAAAGATAGTTAACAATAAATGCTTTGTTGAAACATATGAAAACCAATATTATTATGATAAAGATGAAATACAGGGATAATTAATTTTTCTTAAATTTTGTCTTTAAAAGAATATGATTCTTTAAATTATTTGTTTTAATGCTTATTTGATTGAAAACATTAATAGATAACTTGTATCTAGCCGAAATAAATTCATTAATCGTCAAGTGAGCTGATATTTTGTTGAATGGATTTGGTGTTTAATTTGAAGGTGAAATTCATTGTGAATAAAGACTGAGTGGGGTACTGTTGAAAACAAGGAAGTGTTGGATAGTTGTTCCCTCCTAGTTTGAAATTATACAGGATTGGAAACTCCTAATCCTATCAAGAATCTAACCACTAACTTTCTAGTCTCTCATTCAGCTTGTTGGACTTAATCCCTTGATTCAAATAGAATTAGTCTGTATTGTCATCTTTAGTCGATCACTACTGTAGCAACCAGATTATTCAATGTCATTAGTAACAGTTAGATCAATTAAAATTGTAGATCAGGACTATTTTACGCAAAATCAGTAGTCTGTGAATAATGCATTCACCACAAGACCTGAATTCTCTTAGAGTGTCTACTGAAAGATTTGTGCGTGCATAAAACAATAAAATAATTGCAGTATGCTTCCGTCTGGTACACTGAGTAATCTAAATCTTAAACCAAAACTGTCTTTCTTTCCTTTGTTTTAGAGATACATGTTATACCTTTAAAATGGTGATATTTTTCGGAGTAAATTCTTTTTAGCTTAAAATGAACCTGACAATGTTTCTGATAATTATATTCGCAGAATTGTTTAGTTTTTCTTCGAAACATCAAAGCTTTGTTCATTTGTACGGTTGACAGTTAAACGTTTCTGTATTTAAAATAGTCTCGAAAGTATCTTAATCATATTAATATAGCTTCTTTCTTAAAGCGGTAGTATGGTGTTTAGGAAGCTTCAATAAAACAATTCTTACATCATAAACTCTATTGGTAGTTGTAGTCGAAATTCAATGGTTTTACAGAAGATCGCTGGAAGACTTTATATGTTAGACTGTAAGAAGACTGTAGGAAGCATCAGGTCCTTTCATTTGTAGACAATCACTACTGGTGAATCCAAGCTTGTTCGATGGGTGTCTGTTGTCTACTTCATCTAGTCACTTAACGTTATGCAAAATGTACGTCAAATTACACATAATATAACTATGTTTTGTTTCATTTTGGCCTGTTTGAGCTAATGACTAAGGAATTTAAGTGCTCTTCCAACTTTCCTAATACATTAATTAAAGAAATGAAATTGTTTTGTCATAAAATCGTCAAAAAAATAACTATGTTCTTAAACTTTGGCCTCTTTCTATTGACTTCTTCACATTTCACAGTTATTCAACTAATACCAACTTATTTGTAAAATTATATTTGAAATAATCTCAGTGGTTAAAGTTTAATTAATTCCAACGTTTCGTTCAACAAACTAGTTTGGACTTCAGGGTAACGATCGAAATCAAAATTATCAAAGAATATTTAATGTTTAACAACCGAATCAAATTGGTACTAAATGTTTATCTAAACATATACAGATCTCGACTTTCGTAAGTAGTATAACATGAATCATTTATACGTGAATCATGTGAAAACTTTCCGATGTGTGGATAAACGAATGAGTGAATGTATGTGTATGTGTAAGTTTAAGTTATCAATAGTTGATTTCCTGATTACCTGAAGTAAAAATAAAAGTGCAAACTGAAAAATTTTTTTGATACGCCGATGTAAAATGAGAACCATTAAATACATAATTATAATCATAAAATATTCAAATTAATTTCTGTCGCAATAACGGTGGACGTGAAATAAACAAGTTGGATAGAAATAGTGTACAATTACTTATTATTAATCAATTGCCAATGGGGGTGGCTAGTTGAATACCATTTCTTCTGTTTAAGTTGTGCTTGTTAGCCCATATATACAGCTCTTCTGGTGTCAATCTTTCTTTACACGTGTTAAGCCCTCTCTGAATTATTTTAGTCTCTTCGAAGTTGATCTTGTGTCCCGTTTCTAACGTAACAGTATTGCTGGTTTGTTCTGAAGTTTCTTTCGAGTGATTGGAGATTTGGTAACATATTTTAAGCAATGTTTATGTTCTTTCAATCTCACATTCAACTACCTAAATGTTTCACCCATATAAGCTGCATTAGAATACTTACAACTGGTCTCATAGAAAACATTCTGTTGTTGTTCCTTTGGAAACATATCGTCAACTTTCACTGACACCGATCTTATTGTTTCACTGGTCCAAAAGTACAGTCTTATATTGTTTGGTTAGAATCTTCCTAATTTCTTCCGATTTTTCTTTTGGGTATTAGATGATCACCGTTTTCTTCCATTCTTCGGATATACATTCTAATTTAGTTTTTCTTTTGTTTCTAACAGTCTTTAAAAATTATTTAGGGTATTTGTTGACCAGAAGTGCAGACAACATTAAGACCATTTCAGTCTTTTGGTCTTTCCTCACTGTAGTCAAAATACAACTCCTGATATTAAATTTTTCACGACTGTTATCTTTGTATAACAAGAATGAGCTAAACTGTAATCTGAGTATCTCTCAGAATATGATGATATCAAAAATAGATTAATTTATAACTTAATATTATACCTTCTTTCAACTAAACTATCGAAAAACTCTAGTTTGTAGTTAGTGGACTGTATCTGTTTCCTTAAGTTCATGCTATCCGTATGTTGTTTACACTTTCAAACTTTTCTTCTAAACCACTTCGTTTAATGATGACAAAACGTTATCAACATATCGTAACCAAACCTTGAATGAACTTACACTTTGTAATCTCACTGATATCGAAGGAATGCATCAATAAGTTCATTACCCTTGGAGAAACTGGTGAATCCGTTGCCGCACATTTTCGTCTGTAAAGATCTCGAATAAGAATGAGATGGATCATAAACACAATTCCAAGCACTGGATAACCTCGGAAGGAGCTAATGGTAATCGTTAATTCAAATTTGTCATTCTAAGCAATCATTATTAACCCTTAATGCTTTATTGTTAGGTACATTAGTAAACAAGTAAGATACATAAAAACTCGTCATCAATCCATTCTCTTTCATTTGAAATGTATCGATATCACTCCTCAGTTCAGTACAATTTTAAATTCTATAATTAACCAATTTTTCATAATGTTTGAGTATCTTCAATCTGATTAAGTTCCATATGATTGATCTAACCAATTCATTGAGATTTTAAGTGACATGAGTCAAAATCTGTCCCACTTGTACAGATGCATTCACTTACTGATTTTCTTTGAATCCTGAGTTTTTTAATTATCATATTTTTTATTGAACAAGCTAATCCTTTCTTGTCCCGTTATTTTGCCTTCATATTGTTTTCTATGCCATTGATTACGCTGTTACAACCGTTACTGTGAAATTTGTTTTGATCATGTCATCTCATTGTACTTATGTAGTGTGCGAGATTCTAGTCCGTTTGTGATTGACTGAACATAGAAATATAATAAAGTGTAATAAAATAAATGTTTGACTATCGCTACCTAGGAATATATAAAATCCTATGCATGACAACATACATTTATGTCTTATATTTCTCGTTTCTCAACTTGTCGATCAGAATATGATTTATTGACCACCTTTGGATGTTTCCAGCGTTTCCATAAAATATAGCGAAAATTCTCATTTTGACATTTGGTAAATAAAAAGGAACGAATCGAGCGAAGAATATCCTTTTCAGTTAGTTCATATACGTATAATTTACAATAATGAAACAATACTCGTGGAGTAGATACGTTACGTAATAATTATATAATAACATATCGATTATAAACTAACATTGTGTAACTGGAAGAAAGAGGACTAATAATAATCAAAGTAATTATTCGAAAACCAGGCAGTTGCTACGTTGCATAATATATAAAAGAGAAGAAAGAAATAAAATATTTTGTTGACTAGTCAGTAATATAGTTATTATGTAAGAACTAAGAGAAGTAAAATATAAAAAAATGGAAGAAATACGAAAATAATTTATCAATATTCTGCTACAAGCTCCCCTATACCAATGGTCAAGGTAAAGACGGTGGTTGTAATAACTTCTATTGTATGCAGACGTTCTGTTAATGAACATGGATTTCAAAGGCTTGAGCAATGTGCAAAAGACGAACGAGTAAACCATGTGGCGAATTTAATGAAATATGGTGAACAACTTGATGACGATTTGTCATTATATAATCATTACGTAACGTATCTACTTGATGAGTATTATTTCGCTGTTGTAAATAAATATATATATATATATATATATTAGTGTAGTACTATGATGAAAGATTAATTGAAAAGAAACTTCTTCGTTCGATTTGTTCGTTCTTTAGTTACCATGAAAACTTGAGCTACTTAATAAATAAAAAATAGGGTTACGAATCAATATGAAGAATTAGGACTCCCAACCGGAATTACGAATTAGAGATAGAGTTTCATCACAACCTAAGTTATAACGCCAGAATGCCGTAAACCCATATGAATGGATGAATGTCCCGTAAAGGAAAAACATCCAAAAAACATTATCTTATATTTGATTAGTTCGTTCGTGGATTTTATTCATACTAAATTCTTAATATTTTGATCACAGTATTCCCTGTGAAGAGTAAAATTAAAAAAAGATCAACTGCAAAACGATGTATGCTTCATGAAGCTTTCGTTAAACACATTCTTTTACTAATATTGCTAGAGAAGTCTACAAATTTACAACTACATAATTTTGTTTCTTTAATATGATTATCACTAACTAACCAACTAACATGATTTTTAATGCCAATAAATAGAACTAAGAAATAAAAACCAACTAACAGGGCAATTTTCAACTAGAATTTACATTAAGAAGTTTTAATTTCAAATATATCACAGTTAATAAATTATTTTCTTGAGTTGTATGCCATAAATTGATATGATATATGAGTTACACTATATTCTAGTTGTGTTTATATGATTTAACTGATAATGGTATTGTTGAAATCATGAGTCAATTGAAGCTAGACCACCATCAAAAACCTGAAAGCACTGGACGGCCGTTTCATCCTATTGTGGGACTCCCCAGCAGTGCACATCCACGATCTCACCTCGTGAGATATAAATCCAGGACCTATTAGTCTTGCGCGCGAGCGCTTAACCTCTAGACCACTGAGC